ATTTTATTTAATATAAAATTTATTTTTTTTTTTTCTCCCCCCCCCCCCCCCCCCCCCCCCCCCCCGCGACAATTGCTATTGATTCTACTATAACGCAACAACGAAGAGGCCGATTCAAATGCAACTTAGATCATTGTTTTCGCATCAATTGAGGCTATAGAATGGTACCAATTATAATGTTGTAATTGCTAAAATCGTAAAGTTATTTGAATGTGTAGATGTGTAGATGTGGTGTTATATTGGTTAAATCAATAAGTCTATTACAATAAGCCGTAATAAGGCTTGGAAGTATATATTTAATATTTTCTAAATTAAGGCAAGTAACCTCTTACCAACTTTAGTTTAGTCTGCGATTATTTTTTTCATTTTGGCACAGTTGTTAGTCTGGTCAACCGTACATACTGCCAATCCGTGGGCACGCAAGGCGGACGGAGACCTTTTTCTCTAGTCAGGTCCTAATTTCTCTCCTCCTTGCGTGTAGCGTCGCCGCGGAAAAGATACAAAAGACAAGACTGAAACGAGATGTCTTTTTCTCATTAATTCAAAGACAATACAAGGACGAGACGAGTGTAACCGAGCACAGTAGATTGTGCATAGTGAAAGCTGTTATTGCTAACTGGTCGGTCTATTGAAGAAGAAGAACAAGAACAAGAAGAAGAAAGGACGCGGGACGGAGATAGGAGGGCGTAAACACGGGATCCAGATCACCTACCATACATACCTAACATAGTACGCAAGTATGTCGCTCGGTCCACTTACGACGACCTTCACGCCACCAGCAGACTGTGTCGCGTCGTCGGCGCTGTACTGGGTCAACACCGCTTCGACTTTCTACTGGCTGCATGGCCGCCCGGGACAATCGTCATGCTTCCCTGACGACTACTCTCCCTATCAAAATCAGTATTACAGCCCCGGTGTATGTCCTTCTGGTTATACACGCGCGTGCGAGTCTATATCGACCCAGGACGATACCATCGTCGCCACGCGGGCGACATGTTGTCCGTAAGTAATAATGCATAATGCATACGTTCCTTTTTTTTTTTCCTTTGCTCTTTAGTTTCTATGATGGCAGCCATATATCCGTAGTATTTTGGCAGGATAGGATATCGAATGTAGTAGAAATCTAATAAGACGTACCTATCTAGGCAAGGGAATTACGAATGTGCCGCTACGTCGAGCAGCTATAGCTATCCGTGGGGGCCAACGCTCGGCTGTATGTCCGTATATAGAGTAAACACGCAGACGACCTTCACGACGATCGATGGCACAATAAATGGGGATGAGGAAGCTGGATCGGTAATAAGTTTGTTCGCTCCCGGTACCATCATGGCGTACGGCGTTGTGATCCAGAATAGTCCCGCGACAACGACGGCAGAGGAGACGACAACCGTACCTGTTTCCAGTTCACTATCAGACAAATCAGCCCCCGCATCAGAAACGTCACCCTCGATATCAACGACAGCGGAAGCGCAACCTGATAGCGACGGAGGTGTCAAGCTTAGTGCCGGCGCCGCCGCCGGTATCGGTATTGGTGCTGCATTCGTGGTTTTGGCCCTGGGCGCGGCGGTACTATGGATGTTCTGGTCGCGACGGCGGAAGAGGAGGCAAGAGGCAGCAGAACTGCAAGCCCAACCAAGTACAATAGGCCCTAGTAACTGGAGTTCGACGACATGGGGCGCACCGCCTTATACACAACCGTATACACAACCGCCCGTGATGCAACCCAACTGGCCGCCGCCGTCAGAGATGCCTAACCAGCACGGCTACAAGGAGATGAGTGCCGAGTCTCGGATACCCATCGAGGCGGACGGCAGAGAAGTGTATAGAGAAGTGTATCATCAACGGTAGTTGCCGTGGTTAAGGGAAAGCTAGGAGCCGGGACGAGCAGATATTTCGCTGTAATGAATACGAGAGCTATCTCGCCATATGGTCAGACATCGAGACGGGAAGATTCAGCATTCCGTGTGCAAGCTGTGGCGCTCTGATCCTTTAATCGGTGCTTTATGATAGGCGGGTAAAAGGACTGAGGATGCAATATGAAAAGAGGCGTAAAAATCTCGCCCACAATTTTCACACGCCCAAGACCGCCTGCAGAGATTCGGTTTAGGTATCCTATGCAGATATCCTTGCCCTACGTATCGGCATAGGACTTGGATAGTTACCATTCTCAGCTGCTAGAATAGACACGTTTGAAATCAAAGGTTGAATAGTCGCTTGCTTTTACTTTGTGACCTGCAAAGACAGGGGGGTGCTTAACGTAGAAAAAGGGGGTTAAGAAAAGATCGCCCCTAGCTGAGCGGTCGAAAAAATATTTTCTGAGATCCTCCCAAAGGCTTCTCGAGGCAAGCTTCAGGTTACCTAATACCAGAATTAAATTCAAGTGGTATTTGGGGGGCGTTCCAACCGAGATGGTATTCTCTCTCGTACGCTTGAATAAGATCGATCGATCCAACTAAAGCACAATTCGACTAGGAGTGAAAGCATACACACTCGAATGCCCGCGCCTAAACGTACCAATAGCTGTAAGTATTTTCAGAAGGAAAATGCCTCGTTACCGAGGGTCTTCGATGGCGAGACGGCATCCTTGAGAGACGTGACACAGCCTCGGTTGCTCGAAGCGGTGGTTAGAACGGGTAGGGCGTGCAACTACCGTCTGCATGCGTCTGTCATAAAACGCAAAGGAGATAAAATGACCACGCATGCAACGAGGCCGAGATGTCAACGGCATGGATACGAGTGGTCGTGGACAGTGGAGAAATATCGGCCGCATCCCTCATCTCCAACGCCAGGCATCTGTCTCCATGCATAGTAGCGGTCCACAATACTTCCCGAGAAGCCATCACGAGGATTAAAGGCCCAGCGATCTTGGTTCTGGACCAGTCTAGACAGCTTCTCGATAAGCCAGTCCCTTTATTGGCCCAAAGCCTACCGACGAGTATTCAGCCCTGGTGTTCACGTAACGATGTCTGCGTCTGCCTTCCTCAGACTTGTCCCGTAAGAGTCCAAGGTGCGGTGCCAAGATACATCTGTCGACCCGACCATCTAGCATGATCGTCAGTCCGAAGGAAGCCGCTCGTAAAAACAACCAGGTAATGAGATTCGAATATAAGCTCGTCCCTGGTGATTACCAACTAGGCGAAGTGTCCTTTTGATGGTGGCCAGGCTGACTAGCCCGCGGATATGGATCATCTTGAGATTGTGGCGAGGAAGTAAGTTTCCGCAGAAATCGCCGTCAAGCTCGGAATACCTTTTGGGGAACAACTCTTAGGGGATATACCTGAGGCCAATATTTAATCGAGGTAGCTACGTCTTGCGGGGAGACCGAATACATTATGTTGGATCGCGGTGCCGGAGAGTAAAATCATATAAGCTCCTCTAAAATAGGACTAAAATAGGATAGGATATAAATCCGGTAGTCTCATGTAATCAGTGTCTTCGTATCGGCACTGTAAGATTACGGTTGCCACAAATCGGTCGCCACGATTTCATGATATCGACCCCTTTTATAGACCGCAAATCTTGCCTTGATGTTCAAGTAGCGTTGTATTGTACTAGAAAATTTCCAACTTCCATGCTTCAATTTTGCCACCACCCAAGGTATACTTGGAGGGTCGAAAAGAATGGAATGAGAAGGCATTGGCATGCTTTTGAATACGATTAATAACTACCAAGGCGTATCTCATCTGAGATCGGATATGCCTATTATCGGTTATGCGTGTTTGATCAATTCTAGAGAACGCCACGTAGAGTTCCTAAGCCCTAAGGAAGGCAACTTGGCCGCCTTTCATCTTACATTAGTGTAATTGGCTAGGTAGCTCAAAAAGGTACGCGCAAGGTATTCTCTTGTTTCTGTCCTTGTGGTCCGAATAGGATATAGGTATGGAGATTGTTGACCGACCGTTGAGAGTCAAGTCAAGTGCCAACCTTCTCATTACTGCGAGTGCTACCGATGATAGCAGAACCAGAGAGAACTCTAACAAGGGTAGAGTACGCGCCATGGTATGTAAAGTATTCAGATGCCTCTACTTCTCTACCCTCATATTAGAGATCGCATAATAGAGGAGGTGTACCTAGCTTGAACAGCAGTGAGCTCGCGCCTTGCGTCAAGTGGCGACACGATTTTCCGTTTTTAATTAATCTCACAGAGAAGGTATGATTATTGGTTCCGTAACTTACCTGGAGATTCGGAAGTTTATGGGCCGTGATGCTGATCCGCAAATGAGAGCCGGGCTAAGATGATGTACAGGCAACTGAGTAAACGCGGTCGCTATACAAGCTGTAGTAATACCTCCATGCGACATCACATCTGCAGGGACGTCTCGGCGCGAATTTCTGTAGGTAAGCTGCCTAGACTCCGAAAGACGTGTGATAAGATTCTCATGCGGTTTTCCTTGATCCCGTCGTTTCACAGCATCCTGAGGACATAGGACACCGAAACCTTATAGCAGCTTTTGTAGCTTTCTTCTATATGCTATACAAATAACTGGCCGTTTGCCAATATCGACCCACCGTAGTATGCCTCGTAATACGATTCCGAACGGCGAAATACGAAAATCAGACGCTGGGAGGGTCTGGTACATTACCTAGAAATTCTAGTAAATAGGTAGTTAACGCTATGTAAACAGTAATGCTTTAAGATGTGCCTCCCTTGCAGTCCGATGATACCGAATGGCAACTTTCTCTCGTGTCTTTTCGGATTCCTACACCTTCAAGATGGGGGTATCAAGGTGTTGGCGTGTAAGCGAAGGTACTGGTCGTATCGTTCTCCCACCCAGACCCCTAATAATAAAGGTGCGGCATCTAGCACAAACTTTCTGTATCTGGTAATGTCACTGGCTGTGCCCCGTTCAATATTCCCCGGCAGACTCGTTACCGAGCCAAAAGCTTGGTTTGAAAATCAATACTGGTCTCCTGAGTTGCAGTATCATACGACGCGGGCCATCGAGTGTCGCATTGCATGCCGCTAATGGGGCAGTAATGGAATATCAGCGAGTAAAGCTGGCTCTTGAGTAGAGAGTGTACCGAGGTAATGTCTAGGTAAGGATTGGAGATGCAAAGGAACCAACAACCCGGGTTGACCAGTTTAGATCAACGCTATCAGAGAATGAAATAAAATAAAATAAAATAGACCAGCATATCCCAGTTGCCAATTATAGCTAAGCTTATCCTAATGAAGCTAATAGTCTCTAATTCGGGATAATGACCTGTGTATGTAGGTGTTGACTCCAGGCCGTGGTCCTGTAAATTCATCGTGGACGTGGAACCAACCCCGACACTGAGCTAGTAAGAATAGGTTAATAGTACCAACCAGCCTTCGTCGAAGTTTCATAATAATAAAAATGCAGTTCTAGAGTTGGGAATGATCTGAAGCTTACCCTGTTTACAAGCGAACAAATGCAGAGCAAATGCGAGTACCAAATACAAGACACTGTAGTATTAGTAAATACCAATCCGCGTCTGGCCCAGTTTTCCAAAGCCCGTTCAAAATTGCTTTACTTTGCAAATACGTACCTAGCCAAGAATAGCCTTGAAGATGACTCGAGCGGTCGGTTTTGAAGAAGACACGAAGCAATAGTAGACCATTAAGCCGTACCATGTCGCAGGCAACTACCTAATCAAATCGTTGGCCGTAAAGACAGCTATATCGCGTCATGCACTTGTACGTCTGCCGTAGATCTCGAAATAACATGACGCGACATGTCATAAACCAAAGTAACATCTGTTACTAAGGCACGTTGGCTGCGGACTGACTAACCGGCATGTTGCTTGACGAAAGACACGCCATCCTAAGCCTGCGACTTGTTGTCCATGTGGTGTACTCCGATACGGAGGCTCCTTAAGAATAGGGCAGAATACGTCGTCCATCGCGACACAAGACATGCATGATACATTTGAGAATTGTCTAAGCCGAAGTCCTCATTGTACCCGAAATCGAATCGGCTTAAGATAGTCGTGAACTGAATATGTTCCGGTATCGTTATACCGAAACCTTCGTGGGCTTATGACCGAACATACGACAACTCTTCTCCCTCGACCAAGGCATATACGGAGTAGTAACCCAGATTAATCTTAGAATGTCATGCTCAACCGCTAAGATGAACACGCCAGCGAGAGTTGATAGACACCACAAGTGCCACGAGATCGAAGAGGAGCCCCATACACAGAAGCCGAAAACCTAAGCCGAATTCGACGGTAAAGCGTCCGTCAAGATAATGCTCGATATGGCAAATGATCGGCCATAACTACGAGACTATATACGTGCGTATTGCAATATTGAATAGATTGTTCTTAGTCTAGGCTCGGCAAGCCAAGTACAAACACACGAGTCCGCTACGGTAAGTCGTGCATCTGTATTGTGAGTGCGCAGGTGCACGGCGACTAAGAACGAAGTTTCTAAATGCGTGTTAATATCTGCAATAAGAGGTATTATAAGAGGTATTCGCCATCGAAAAAAGAGACGCACTATTCCGTGCATGAATGGTAGGTTAGGTTAGGTAGCTTGGGGGATGGGCGAAACGAAAAGGAGCCTGGAGGTACCCATACCCAGATGATCATGATACGGATAAATGAAAGGAGGGATTGCATGCATTCGATTAGGACATAACGATCAGGGCATAACGCGCATATGATAGGCGGATGTATAGGTAGACGTGACGCGAGCGAGCGAGTATTGTGGCGCGACAGCTTATCTCGTTTCCAGCGTAGATTTCTGTAAGTTTCTGAGCTTCTAAATTTCTTGATTTCCTCATGTAGTTGATATTATGATGAAAGTTGGTTGGTGTGGGAAATTTCAAAGTTTGCCATCAAGGGTCAAAATGTCAAACTGTTTAGACCCTGTCCTAGTCCCATGTTTTTCCGGCCCCTCTCCCCGGAGACCGGAGATTTTTTTTGGGGTTTAAGCTTTAAGACATTTTACCTAAGTGGAGCGGAGGACCTTCCTCAGGCTATCAGGGTCTTACCCGACCTAGCACAGCGGGAGTCAGTGCTTTAGTGCTGCCCCGGGGGCTTCCCTGGTGCTTCCTAGATGCCTCTCCTGCTCTCTTATTTCTCTGGTGCTCCCACTATAAGGTGATGAGAAGGCAAGGGCCCGTTAGTAAACGAGCTGGCTTAATTAATAAAGTGACTGTAAACTTACACAAACGTAAATTATGTGTAATGTATACCTATACGATATACATAAATATTAGGTACATAATATAAGGTATGTCAGTATATATTCGTCATGTACCTCGGCATGTACGCTCTTACATGTAAGTACATAAGGTACCACACACATTACCTATGTACGTAGGTATAATATAACTACATACATTACCGATGTACGTAGGTAGGTATATAATATGCATACACACGCGCACACACACGTATGTATGCGGGTTGGACGATGCTAGGAGATTTATTAATTAATTTATGCTGTCGTCCACCGCGGAGGGCTTTCCGGCCAATGGTAAATCTTTGCTTTTTTCTTGGAATCTTCAGCCTCATCTGTGGTATAATTATTCTGCATTATAGAATGGTTCCTTAGCAATATAGGTATGTAGGGTCGTCGTTAAAAGGGAGTAGAAGTGCGGCAAGATGGTGATGAGGGTGGGCAGGGTACATATACGTAGTTGGGGGTCTGATGTTCTAGGTAGCTTATACCACTCATAAGTATCCCTATTGGGAAGCTTCAAGCTTTTCTGCCATGTTATTCGATCCTTTGGCCGCAGTGTAACCGTCGGCGCCGAGAGACAGGCTTCCTCTCCGGTGCTTCCCCCCCGTTCTCAGCACCGTCTGGATCCCTTTCGATACTGGGATGGTGCAACAGTTCAAATGCAGGGAACAAAATTGAAATTTTTGGTTGCGTTTGGAACACAGTTGCTATATTTGTGTCCAACTGAAAAGAACCATTCTCCTGTCAGAACTCATATACATATATGCGAAGTTCTCGAGTCCCGGTTGGAATCTTACGGTTTTTTCTACCCAAGTTCCGCCAATAGGTGAGAGGCTAGGTGTGTTTAATACAATGTCGCATATCCTACCTTCAAACATAGGTACCCAATAGCGATAACGAGCGCGGTTTGGTGATAACGGTCCGATGACTCTCTACTCACGCTCTTTTCAAAGACCTGGGTCGTCATTTCTTAAGGTTGGTCCAAAGGATACGATGTTCATCTGCTACATACGATACGACCCCTCTTATATATGACATGTCAGAGTTGATATGCTAATTGCTCCCGCACAGTTTTCTATGTATGTATTTGATAGGAGCGTGCTATAACTAAATGAAAGGCGTGTTTCCAGAATACCTGCGGATCCACTTTGACCCTTGTCGCCGCAGGGTCCTCATTGATGCATAGCAGGGGGACTCCCGTTGGAAAAGATAGTTGTGGCCTGTGTCTGAATATGGCAGACTGCTTAAGTTGTGTTCCAAACGTGTTTGCCAGGACATCGACACGGCCTAGGCAAATCTTTAGAAGATCACCTCTTGAAGAATCGAGACTAAGAAGTCTTCTCATGTACGTACTTGGATAAGCTACATATATAGTACTACGGGAAAAAGACCCCTGGAGATAAATAAGGATGTTTCCGCACACCTACCTTGGTAGACTGGTAGATCACTCTGCTTTCCGGAGCATCCTTGCAACGAGAACCATTTCGAGGTTCTCAAGCACCTATATTGGTCACTTCCTCACTGAATTGGACTTTGCAGTCCGTCAGTGAAACCTTATCGCTTGGCTGCCAGCGGGCAGTAACCTCTTTGCTATTGTCATTCAGTAACAGCTCATTACTATATCTCGCGACTAAGTCGCTAAAGTCTCACCCTTTGAAGCCTACAAGCCCTCCCTTTCTTAAGTGAAGGTATTATTCACGATGAGTGGAAGCGGCGGATTCTACAAGTACCGATGCAAATACTTTTATACTCATAACTGCCCAAATTGGGTATACGTTAACAATTCCCCTTGCGCAAACTGCTGTGTAAGTCACCACTTACCCGGAGATAGCGAGCTTGCATCTTACAAGACAAATTTGGCTAATACTTTTTGCAGGCGGAGGGACGAGATGTCGACGGAGAAGTCCCCGATATGCCTTTGCCGAGGCACTCGCACGATATTTGCGTTCCTCGGGTAGAGGATGGTGTCGTTCACTACACGCTGATGGAACTCGTCAATACGAATGAGTCTGGAAACCAATGGATCCTAAGATACAAAGTCAACCAGACTCAAGTTCCTACGGTGATGACTACCAATGCCACTCCCGGTGCCCCGATCCCATCAACGAGTTACTGAAAGGAGGAGACGTCTGTATTGCCGATGACGGCAAAGTCAATGGCGTCAAATATTGAGGATGATCAGATGGGACCTTCTAGTAGTTTCCAGGTTCCAGGGATTAAGGGAGCGGATTAATGACATTGGGGAATACATATCCAGGACAACCGGGATTGTGGGGCGCAGCAACCAAGTTTGCCCAGGCTCTAATAATGAACTGACGATCGTATGGCGGAAGCGGCGGCGTTTGCTGCAAAATCGGCCTATGATTAGCTTCACTTGAGTAGCTGATGAATTGCGACTATTTCGACGGATGATGGAAATATTCCTAATCAAAGATTGCGCCGAGTTCGGTCCTTATACTAAAAAGAGCGCACATTGCCATGGGACGGAAGTGTACGGAAGTGTGTTGAGGGTAAATAATTAGTATGGTAGTAGTTTCGAGCACTTAGGCGAGGCTATCCCGCCTAATGTCTGCAGAGCGTTAATAGTAGCAGTCATGTTAAGACAAGGAGTTTAATCGCAAATTTGTAAGAGGATTCCGTATAATAAAAACCTTCGAGTTAGCATTATATTTATACCGTAGAATTATAATTACATTACAATAAAGCAGTTTAACGGATAAAAAGAAATGAGAGCGGCATGTTAATAGGGTACGTAACTCCACGACACTCGCTACCTAACTCAGGTTTGAAGTAGAATAATGTTGCAATATAAATCCTGGGGTTTCTCAATCGGGCTTGTTGCATTAGCTATCGCGTCCAGTATGAGCCTCGTGACGATAGACCGTTTTTTTATTTCCTGCTACTGTAACTTATACGCGCCTTGTGAAGAAAATGCCGGTAGCGAATCTAATATCCGGAATGTGATAAAAGCTTTCTGATTACCTACCCTACGTACATACCTCCCAGGTATGATTATTAGAAAGGGTCAATACAACGGCATCTATGTATGTGCATCTATGCATTTACGTGGATTCTCGCACATTGCAACTTATACCTTGATCCTTATTTCCAGCGTAGAGATGGGTGAAGCCACAAAATGGCAATGGTCTGCGAGGCTTATATGCATCGTATTAGTGGACGTACCAAGACAGGGGATTGTTATGTCCGATTTACGTTGCAAGAATACTACAATTGAGATGACATCAAGGAGTGCGTATACGTATACAATAAAGATTCCCATACCGAGGTACTTATAGGTAAATAGGTAAGGAGAGTGGTTCGGTTATTCGGTTAGGTCGATCGTTTCCATGATACCTTTCTTAGGCCCTAGTCATAATTACATACCTAAAGCACATACGCCTACACGCGTAATAGTATTAGAGGCTAGAGGGATTAAGTATTTTATAGGTGTTCTACGTGCGAATATCCGGTTCAGAAAATTAGGTAGTCAAACCATCGAACCATAGGTAGCCTATCAATTAACAGGGACATACGGTACATACGGTACACAGCATAGTCGAAAGCGGGTCCAATCTAGCCGAACCAGTCGGCCTTATTGCACGGTTAAGGTGGCTGGGAAATCGGGAACACTAACGGATGCGCTTATCCGCAACCGTTACATAACCACCTGGGCAGGGGGTATCAAAAGTGGGGGCCCGCTCGGTATGGGGCATCCAGGCCCTGTTCGGCCACGTGCTCAAGCTTTTTCCAAATGCTTGTCCGGTCCGCTTTGCTCCACCTTCAATCTTCTCCACACATTTCAACCTCTACATAATCCCAAAACCTACAAGAAGAATAGGTAAAGCAACAAAGTCAGTCCTTGATGAGCAATGAGTGTCAGCATATCTTCGACATATACATACGTTTACATACGTATAGCTAATGTTACAACGAATATCTGACAGCTGCAAATCTCGTACGACATCCTTTCCGATTTACCAATGTCTCATATGCCGTACTACTATCTTCTCCAACCTTAGACACATCAGATTCCTACCTGCATGTCCAGGGCTCCTATTTTCCATCGTACATATCATATCCCAGGATTCCCATTCACCCCGCGGACGCCCCCTGCCATGCGCGTCAACCTTTTGGTGCCAATGATCCACGCTACACGCTAAACCTATGTCATCCTTGGGCTGAACCGCCATCCAGAAGCGGTAAGTATTGGACCGGCCCGAGAAATGAAAAGTCGGGTCTCTCTCTAAGGATTCTTATGTCCATTTACGGAATACGGCCATGTTTGTTCGGAAGTAGACAGCCATTATCAACGTTGTGTTACCGTAGCTTTCTATCCCAGCCGACCGGGTACCGAACATATCTATCACTCTCCTTGTATAATGGCTACCATTCCCAATGATACTATCATGATGTAGGCCTGACGTAGGGCAGAGATAGTACCAGTATCATTTAGCACAAGCTTACATTTGGAACGTATTTATTGACGTTAACTACTGGGTGATAGCTTGCGCATAAATAGTGCCAATATAATCGTAAAGAATTAGGTAGTCGTATCCCTTATCAACTTCCTCGTATACTCGCCCGGCTTAAATCCGAGATCCTATAATGGTAATATAGACTCAAGAAGGCGTTACGTACAAGATTAGCAACACCTAGGTAGGCTAGGCCACCCGCAAAGCCAACCATTTACGCACGTAAACAAACGTCGATTTGTAGGCACTCCAGCCAGGCTACTAGATAGCCCGTGAGGCCACTCTCCCTTGATTACAAACCTCACTACAGCCTGCGGCCCCATATGCCGACCTTTGTCTGTTCTAGACCATAGAAAGAGCTCAATTTATTACATACTGTAGGTAAGTTCCATCAATTCATTCATAAGATAACAATACCCATCATGAACTGCACTATGCAGGTATTATTGATTATTTCATGATGTATCATATCATACTAGGCCCCCCGCCAAGCAAATGGCTTCACGCGTCCACCCTAGGACGACCGAGACAAGTAGAATAAAAATAGATTGCATGTATGTATGTATCCTGGTGGTCTTGTTTTGTCGATATAGCGTAGTTTCTTTCCTGTTCTTTGTTCGTATTATAATAGCGCGAATCCAGTTTGGTCCAGACGCCTTCGAGAGGGTGGCGTTGATTTTCCCTTGCTCAAATAGGGGAACTCCCATCTTTGGTTAAACAACGACCTTCCTTCTGGGGGATTGGTTATTAGTTGCAATATAGACTATTAGTTCGTGTTGATTCGCCGTATCAGATCTTAATAAGGGTTATGGGATTAATAAGGGGGCATGTTCTGCATTTGACCTATCACTGATCGTTTATCGGTAATTCTCGATCGTCGATCATTTCCTGCTCGAAGATTCCTTTGGCTACGGGAAACATACAACTATTGGACCTTAGAACTCCCGAATTTCGGGAATCCGGAAGGCTAGAACACTCCGCATGATCGAGGTGGCATACATGAAGGAAGGTCGTCCCCAGAAGTGTTGTACAAACTCATTTTAAGGTACAGCTACATCTGGTCATTGGATCACCTTGACAACAGCAGGATTCATGCAGTTACATTCGTCTAAGTCTTTCAACCAACACCAGGTTATCCAACTTTGTCCAACCATCAGCCCTATCTTAATATGACCGGAATTCCCACGTAGTATCCCATCTCGGGCAACTAGACACTGCCGAAAAGCTGATTCATACCTCTTAGAAGTGGTCAAGTATGGGGCCTTTGGTAGGCCCACGCATTGATGGTCGCGTCGAGAGGTTACAACGCAATGAAATCGAACCGCGTTGGCCAACCTCGCAAGACACATACCGTGCCTTCTAGCTAGTCTCCTGCTGCTTGTAAGCGACAACTCACCCCGGGCGTGGCTCGGTATGTATTACCTAGTCTAGAGCTAGTAAGAATCTGACGGAAGAGCCAACGGGACGCGAAGCACTCTTATTAAGAAGCCTTGCCTAATTTCCGTCAGTTTCTCAATACGTACCTAACTCCCTAAACGGTAAGACATATACAACTTGAACTTCTTATAATAGGCTCTAGTCTATGTCCTCAAGTGCGAGAAAGACACAGGTACACTGCTCGTCTAACATAATTGGTTGACTTCTTTGATACTATTCCTAGGATGGTATGCTTCGACCCTTTTCGAAGCTTTGATTTGTTGACATAAGTGGAGTATGTATCTGTGTCTATCTCGCACTTGAGGACATACAAAGGATATTTGTTACTTGACATGTAACCCGATAGTACTAGGAATGTATTGGTAGATGATGACAATATTCCATAATTTTGGTACCCCCCTTTTTTCCCCTTGTCGTGTTTGTCATCTAGGTATTCCAGGTGATTTCTCAACCCCTCTAGCGGAAGGTTTACTCCTACCGACTAACTAATTGCAAAGCTTTCCATGCCGCTGATCAAAAACGGGTAATGGTCACATTGGCTATGATGTATGTGGTACTTACCCCTCGGGGATGGGTTTATATTTAGCTAATAGGAGTTTGGATAAAACTATACTGAAAATGCTGACCACGTAGAGCAGTTGTAACGGTACAAACCCCTTACCAACGTAATTCAAGTAGAAAAGACGCGTAAATAATGCGAGTGGCTTTCTCCGATATTATATGCCTGGATAACTACAAAACAACCGTTACGGATTGCAGATGATTTTCGGAGCCAGTAATATTTTCTCTCACATAAAGGGGCTATATATTGGATTAATATTATTAGAAAACAGGGGCTGGCTGGGTTATAATGGTTCGATAGGTATCCCATTTCTGGCCGGGAATTTAGTGTATGAATTATGACAGTCAGCCCATGCCTTTTTGGTCAGAGGCGTTTACTAAGAACACAACTGGTCAGAGGAAATTAACGAAATAAGGGATCGGAGCAGGTTGCATAAGAAAAAACAATAATTTTGATCCAACCATTGTCAGTACAGTCAGTCCCAACGTTGAAACGAGGAAGGGTAGCTAATAATAGTTTATAGGATCAAACTATTAGGCGATTTTATCTTCTTCATCTGCCTGCTTTGTGATCGGAGAAAGTTTCTGAGAAGAGATAATATTCCAGACGCGTCTAGTTCGACAGTGACACGGGCGAGTATAGTCGCTGGTTAGAAATGATGGAAGACAAGCTAATTATATTCAATCTTTCAACTTAGGATATACATCTCGAACAGCCCAAGTCCATCAACCTTCTAGCGACGTTCCAATGCCCCCATAACACCCAGTAAAAGCCCGAATTAAAGAAACAAGAAGAACGCCGCCATCGCCGACAGCCAACCCCAAGCCCAATTCCAACACCGAGAAGACGACGCAGCATTTCCGAGCTCGCGCCACTGATACCCGAACGTCACATTCTGGACGACAGCCTGATTATGGCAATTTCCCCCGACAATATCCACATTTCTCAAATCGTCGGGCGTAACGAAGAACATATACTGCCTCTGGTCGATCCCCTCGAAGCCCGAGGTGTCGTAGGGAAATAGGTCCGAGCTGTCCGTTGCTGTCGTGTTGCGTAGGAATATACACTGTACCTGTCCTGGGTAGTTGTGCACCAGCTGCGGGTAGTCCTTCATGACGTCCGAATTGGACGTGTCGGCCATAAGGACAAATTTCCGCTGCGGAAATGTTTGAAAGATCTTGTCCAGTAGCGCCTTACGTATCGATAGCGTCGCTGAAACGTCCGAAAAGTTCAGCGGTCGCGTGTCGAATGAGCCGAGGGGGTACGTCTTGTAGATGAATCTGCGATGTGGTTAGTCCTAGCCAGTACCCCTTACTCTAGAATCCTAATGACGCGAACAAGCTTACTCCATGTAGTTCCTCGTTGCCTGCTCTGGTGTGGTAGTAAGGTAGTGAAAGTGAAAATTAGGGATCGTGGCAGACCAGTTGGCGTAGATATCCGGCATATTCCTCCAGGGAGTAAATTCTCGTGCGAATGAGTTTAAGAGACCTTCCTTTGGGTCGTAGATCTTGGTAACACGGAGAATATCGTCAATGTCAGAGATTATCGTGAAGCCTGTTGGTGGCACCAGGTAGGCCGTCGCGTTCCCTGTGTCGGTTCCCCTGGCGTACATGTTGAGAGCCTGGATGGATGAAGTTGCGTTGCCGGCCATCAGGTGTCCATTGTTGGGACTAGTTATGTTCTGAAGGACGACGAAAGCATCAAAGTCACCTTCATTTGTTGTTTCATACGGAAGGTCGATGGATTGGGCACCGCCCTCCTAATTTTCGTTAGTCTTCTGACAATATATAGTTCGCCCGTACCTGTATCAACTTACAGCATTGATCACGCCGCCGCTTGCGTCCGGACGAACGTCAACGTCATTTTTGAAGTCGATAGTAACATTTAAATGTCCCTGCTGAACGACAAAGATGGAAGCTGTTAAATTTCGAGCTTGCTTTTGCTCTGGTTCAGACAGCTCATCTATATCTACATCGATGAGGAAGACATTGGCGAGATCATCGAGTTTCTTTTGTGAAATGTCAGGTTGCTTGTATACGTTTCCATGCACCCGAACGTTCCATCCTTCTTCGGTCCAGTTCGCGTATGCTCTAAAGCATATTTCTCGTTAGCGGGGAGCTCGTCATGGCGGGGAGCTATTACAGCCAATCCTTACGGGATATTTAGAACTTGTGTTGGCTTAGCATCTAGGTCCGAGTTATGGATTCCAAGAGAGCTCGCAACGGCTTCGCCACTAGGGAAGTCCTGAAAAAACTGTGGTACGCCTGATGCTACGTAGCTTGAGACATCGCTCCCGAGGCTGTCTATTATACTGTGAATGTAACTTCCGGGTTCGGAGCGGCGGTTTACTCCTACTCGGTTATTTAGGTCGGGAGCCGGTGTGATCATGGGATGTGAAGGTGGCATAGCCAGGGCCGCCCCAGTCGAGAATAGCGACAATAGCCATATCGGTACTGAATGACACGATAATACTGCCATTTGCGTTAGGTATTAGATAGTAGGTAATGTTTGGCACTTATTATCATGATAATTCTAGGTAGGATGTGGGCCGATAACGTCACAACGACGAGATGTAAGTTTGAGGTATTATCTTGTCTAGGTAATCTATCAAAATCCATCCTGCGTATGTAGAGTAGGTGCGTTACAATGTGTGCCCTGTTTTGGGCCCCGTTTGTTCCTTTGTCCCCCCAAGACCTTGGCTATGACATCACTGGGTACCGATCGTCGTTTGTGGTTCCTTAGCGTAGGTACATGCGTTCGTGGGAAGGTGGAAAATCCAAAACGAAATGGGAATTAGAATTTCCCCATCAAATAAGGTTAATTGCTTACGGCCGGCCCCGAGTGCAACCTTTCGGCCCCACTCCTCCTAATCGATAAGTACCTTATCTTTAGTAAATATTGAATTCTGACAAGTATTTCGTGAGGATTGACTTGTACTTTATGACAACTAATAAATTCAACATATGACAAGACCCTCATGTTCTAATATCGCAGAAGTCCAGCTTTTTCTGCTTCGTTGAGCCCACAACTCAGGGAGAACCATAAGCCCGCGCGATATATTCGCATAACCTACCACGCTATATATTCTCTTTAGCGCCGTAGTGAAGTATTCTCGATGATCCTGTGAGACGCTCTCGGCGGCAGCTACGAAGATTGGCCATACGACGACGTGGGATCCCGGTGCGGTCGGGTCAAGCTTCTCATAGAGACTCCTCATCTCTTGCACACGATCTTCCATATAATATTCTGGACTGGGTAAGGGTGCTTCCGATTCCGCCCTCGTCGTATATATCTCCCCCGCGAGTCGAAACAACTGTTCGTACACGGAGAAGTATCTCGAGAACACGTAACCCTTGCGTAGCGGAACGTTCTTTTGCTGCTGGCAGTTTTCGAGGCCGTGCACGTAGCGCTTAAACATGGCAACCGGATCGCTCGACATCCGTGGAGGACGAACAGGTAGAGCTTCGAGGGAAGAAAAGGGCTGCGTAAAGAAGCCTATGCTATTTGGTGTGAGTGTTCTGGATTTAACTAATCTATATCATAGTGCTGTTTATCATAGGGAGAGGGGGGTAGGCGCTGAACAAGTTACCAAGGGTTGGACGAACATGCAAGACTGAAAATACAAGAACTTCTCCAGCTGAGTTGCAGGTTCTTTCAGGGGCCCTCGGGCTTCGAGAAACACGGTGAGGAGCTTGTATAGAGTCGAGACATCCTCATGGCCGATCACGAGATCGGCCACTATCAGAAGAACAAGGGTCGCCCAGGTAGTCTCGCTTAGATCGGGGCTCACCGTCGAAGCTTCGGAGAGCTTACGGATCAGGCTAGCCCTCACAATCTCAGCGGGGGCACGAAGTTGTGGCCTCCGTGATGAGAGATGGAAGGCCGATGCGATACAGACGGCTTTCTGAACGAGAGGCTCATGGTATGCTACAGGCAATATATGATGTCTGTAACCATTCGTCTCGTCGTCGAGTAGTACCATGAAGGGAGATACATGCGCAGCAACTTTAACTGTCAGTACCAGGTTGATAGCTCTAATTGTGAGAAGATAGGGGTTTACAATGCAAGAAGTGTAGACGGATTCTGGGGTCCAAGTCCGACACCACAGATGGTACCGTCGTCGTTGTGTCCGAACAATTGAATGGCAGTATGCTGTTTACCGTTGGCGGCGCCTTTGAAACTCGTGATGTGGTCTTTAGTTTGTCTCTCGAACATTCGATCCACTTATAAGGCCTTCTTGGTCGTTTCGACCTAGTATGATCTCCTTCCGAAGATGACACCGATAGCAGGCTAGAGCTGGTCGCCCCTTTGGCAAAGCGATATCTTACACCATACCCGGGGCATTTCAGATTCTTTTTTGTGCATTTACCGCACTGATTTTCGGTCTTGTCACAGACGATACGTCGCTTGACACAATTATAGCAGGCTAATCGTGGGGGTTAGACCAGCGTAACATAGTTCGCCGAATGAGGTAAGAGGGAAGAGTAACAACTTCACTCACATTTTTTATCATTCCCTTGATCTGCCATTGTCTCTGATGCCTCTTTCTGGACTCAAGATGTTGCCTCTTACGTGGTAGACTACGCGTATATAGGTAGCCACGGCCTCTACTAGACTCGAGATAGGTATACTAAATGAATAGGGGTAAATAAATGAATAGGGGTAAATAGTTAGAAAGACTTAAAGAGATGAATTTAGCGCACGTGCAACACGTGATAAGAAAACTCGTATATCTTAAAAGCCTAAGGGACCCGGACTTTTAGATAGTTTCCGTTATCAATATAAGACTATTGTTAGAAAATTATTCTTACCGGTATCAAGGAGGAACAGCTCAATACCGGGATACGTATACTATTTCCAGACACATCTACTTGGTGTAACATACCGAATACCAACTATGATCTTCAATAAGCTTCAAATAAAACATAGCTATTACACCATTACCATATATCTTAGGCACGTAAGCCTTAGAGACGCGTAACTAGAGACAACTACCTAGTAGATAAAGTCTGGTCGTCTCTGGTTAGTCGTAAAAGTAGCCTATTGCTCGTCTTCCTAATTATAATATAGCATGACTAACAGAAGTCGTACGAGGTAGCTGGCGTCAGCGTAATGCCGATCTCATACCTAACAAGAACTCGTCTCAGTTCCTCGTAGCCCTCAGCTCATCCAATACCTCCTTGCTCACCCTGCCTCCCTCCTCAATAGCCCCATCAATGCATGCCCTCCAGCCCGCCGCCCAGTCCCCGCTCGCAAATAACACGTTGCCGTGCCTCTCCCGGAGCGTGCTAAGGTATTTCGTGGCCATGCCCGGCCCCAGCCACGCCCAGGCGCCCTTGGAGAACTCGTCCTCATTCCAGTCGTGGAAGACAAGACGTTCTACGACTGTGCCGTCGGCGAGGTTACGGAAGGCCGAGAGAGCAGCTTCTGGGTCTTCTTTCGGCTGTAGCTTCGTGCCAAGACCCACGATATGTGTGTTTCCAGCGGGCGTGATTCCGTCGCCGGACATATAGTTCAGGCCTCCGGCGGGATGCGAGGGGGCACTGACGGGTCGGAGACCTGGGCCCTGAGTTTCTGCGTTAACTTTGACAACAAAATTGACGTGCCCCTGTTCTGACGCCGCCAGTTTAGCTGCCGGGAGAGCTGGGGAGAACGAGATGTTCTTTAGGACGTTAAGCGGCGCAGTGCAGATTAGTCGCCGAGCCTTGAAAATAGTTCCGTCGCGTACTGTCACCTCGAGTTGGTCCCCGTCATCAGCTACCGCGGACACGGGGCTCGAGAACTTATAGTTCAGTTGGCCGGTACCCACGGCCTCGTCAAAGAACCGCCGAGCGAAATCCGACTGTCCACGCGCCAGCTTGAAAGCCGCACTTGCAGCCAAGAAATCCATGCAGTTATAGCCGCCGAGCGCCCAGTTGCGCAGAACTTCCCAAAACGAGGCGTCCTTTAGATCGCTGCCACAGAGGATGGAAAAGTATACTTCTAAGATAGCACGCTCTACCGGCTCGAGCTGGTCTCCTAGCTCAGCGATACGATCGGCTATAGATATCTTGTCGAAGCGCTCGAGAGCCTCGGTGTTGAGATGCTGGTTATACGGGAATGGGATGACGGCGCGGCCGCGCTGCCCGTCGACATCGACGAACTTGTTGAGTACGGCCTCGAGCTTCGCAAACTATACGGTACATGGTAATGAGCATACAGCAACACTTCTAGAACACGCTTTTCGAATTACTTCTTGGACATACCTCTTCTTCCTGGCCCAAGGTGACAGTATCATTCCCTACCCGAATAATAGTCTTACCACCTTCTAAACTAGGCGAGATCTCGAGTTCGTTCGTAAGATTATATCGCGAAAGTTCCCGCCAGACGAACGGTTGATACCAGTGTACCCAAGTTCCACCCAGCTCGAACGGGTAGCCTCCGATATCAGTTGAGAAAGTACGACCGCCGATACGGTCTCGTGCTTCCAGAAGCAGAACTTTATAGCCAGCTGTCGAAAGATCACGAGCAGCGGTCAATCCTGCGTAGCCCGCCCCTATTATCACCACATCATAAGGGTCTTTCTGATCAGCAGGTATGAAGTTCGAAGGTGGTTGGACTACGCCGACCGAAGGGACGCCTGCTGCTAAGCCGCCCTCCTTAGTCCAATGGAACCCATCGCGGGTAGTATGAGTGGTCGAGTTTGCCATATTGATCGTTTGAGGAGCTCTTACTCAACTGACAAGTTTCCTAGGGGCTATATTCTAATCATATTTCCTCCCACCCTGTGTAGGATATTATCTTTATATATTCGCATGCTATCCTCTCGCCTTGGCTATCCATTGAACTGTTGGCGTTTCACCTGGATAGGAGTCTATGCCGAAGGCTCCGTCTCCAAACGATAGCATCTTTCTCATGTTTCTTTCCCAATTGAGTAAAACCATTAGAATATGATCTACCAGCACGGAGAACCTCGCTTCCGATAGTTGTATCATGGATAAGCTAAGGGCGCAAGTAGATCAGGGCCGTGGGCTATTTTCTCACTTTTATTGCCGTTTTAGGAAATATAGAATGGCGTCGAGCGATATGCCTGCAAACCAGCCGTTAGCTCCCTTAATTCGATCAAAAGAACTTACACCGCATGTGCATCGTTACTACCGTGATATTCCTCGTCCGACTAATCAAGACTCGTCCAGCTAAGTACTCTTGTTGGTGAAATGCTCCCCATATTAGATGCTAGATTCTGTTGGGTTAACTTGCGTATTCTTTCAGGAACGATACGTCTAGTTTCTTTTTTTTAAAAAGACTTTGAGTTAATTTCGAAGTTATGAGGCACGAATATAGTTAGTATATCATCACTAAACGTGTTCTCTTACAGACTAGTTGAGATTCTGCTACGCTCCAACTATATAGCATAATTACCGAGACGGAAGAATACGTAGACGTAAAATGACCGGAAGAGGATACAAAATTACAATCGCTGTTTTGTATTATTATTGTCCTAACTACCCACTAACGGTGTCTCTTTTGGGAGACAAGTAGGTACATGACTGACTCTATCCTACTATAGCTACAGTCCAACGAGACCGCGGATAAACCCCATAAAACTGGAGCTAGCTACAGCGTCTAAGATGCAGACTGTAGTCTCCTACTAGGTACAGTTCTTTAGCGGACTGGAATGTGCCGGTCTATATTTTGTCGGACTCAAGCGAGCAGGTCTCAAGCGAACGACACTAGAGCGGATCACACGTGAGCGTGCCGATGCGGAAGACGATGGGTCAGGGGGATCAGGGCTGGAGTGTACATCCTACGTACCCTCCACCTTTATCTTACTTCGTGTAGAAGTTAACTCGTCCTGCTTGTAACGCGTTAGTATCGAAACGAGTGCTATGCGCTTTAGGGGTGCAATATGCAAAAGCTTACCTCGGCTTTCCTCTTTCCCGTCACTGGCTCAGGAGTATTCCTAGAATACGCTGGCGTGTTTCCGCCATCTCTAAATGCATCTTTATAACAACTGGCATGATATATCTTCCTGCCCACTTTCATAGTGTCAGGCCACACAAACTCCTGTTGCTGGTCCAGCCATCTCGTCTCGAACTTCTCTTGGCAAATGCTACACACGCTATTTGCTAAACTAGGATCGTCAGGCACTGGAATATATTGTAATTGCGGCGATTTAGGAGCGGAACCGCCTGTCACCGAATTAGAATCTCCGGTTGGGGCCACATAGTCCTTGTCGACGATCTCCCTCGTTTTAATCCAATCCTAGTTACATTAGCATCAGCATTATAATGACGCGACACAGTTTAACAAAACACTTACTACTTCGTCGACTAACCAGCTCCGATGCTGTCCTCGCTTCTCAGCTTCGGCCATACGCTGGTTCACCCGGAAGTGCCAATCCATATGGGCCGTCTTTTTCTTCTTACCCTCCTCATCCTTCGGGAACCGTCGTCCGCATTGCGTGCATTGAGGTCCTAGAGATTCGAATAGGAAAGGCAATAAGTAAGGGCGAAATCTACAAGCCCGTTAGTTTAAACTTAGACACAGATCTTTGAAAGAAACGTACTGCTTGAGAGACGATTGTCTCAAAACGATATCACTTGTAAGACCTTCAAGAGTAGAAGGACGGATATGTTGAACGACCGGGACCGTAGCCGGGGTGTTAAAACCAACAGGAAAGGAATTTGAAGGTGCCGGACGAGGGACGGGTGTCGAACTACTAGCCGGCGCCGTACCCGGAAGTAAGCCGGCTTGTCTCAACATATTCATCAGTGCCATAGGATCAGAAGGAGGTGGTGGCGGCTGGTGTGTATTGACTGGTTTCTTAGGTTCAACAGGTTTTGATTGTGGTGGCGGAGGCGGAGTGTGAACGGCGGCAGGTGTAGGAGGGTGATAAGGTGCGGATGCTTGCGGCGTGGCAGAATTTCGTGCCATTAGGGCAGCCAGGGCACCTGCACCGAATAATGAATCTAAAGAAACCTTGGGCGCCGTCGCCGGCGGAGGAGCTACTGCTACGGGTGCTGGTTGTGGTTGTGGTTGAGGTTGAGGGATAGGTGCAGGAGTAGGTGTTTGTGATGGGGGCGCTCTTATAGTCACGGCGAGATCAGCAATTTGATTCTTAACAAGCACTAACTGATCCTGTGGCAGGTTCTGGGTTTGAAGTATAGTTTGCAAATCCATGAGCGCCTTCAACCTTGTCTGTATACTAGGGTCATGCGGATTCAATGCGATTTGGGCCTTGGAGGCCGAAATCAGTCTCTGGATGTCATTATTCAAAGCATCTATGCTGATTCCAGCTTGTGGTACGCCATAGCCTCCTAGCTGGGGGGGTTGGAAGGCCATTAATCCTGGCGTAGGTTGCGGTGTAGATCTGGCCGGCTGTGGTTGACTCTGGGCAGGATATCAGTAACAATCACGCTACGTTTAAGGTTGTGAGCTTACAGGATGCGACGGGTAAGTAGTCGGAGGTAACTGACTCGAGCTACCATAAGACGGGCCGTTCGGGTTAGGTACAGGAGCCTGGGGGGGATATCCGTTGGCCTGAGGAGGGGGGTGGTAGCCTGGCGGAGTAGGCGTCTCGCGATATGGTACCCCCTGGCTTGCTGGCCTAGTACGGCCGAGCAACTGTTGCTGACCTTGTTGATGCTTCTGCTGCGCTTGTAGGTGTGCTGTTCTGGCCTTGATGAGCGCGTTCTCGATGGGACGTGTAACATCCGGAGGGAAAACGGGTCGGGTATCGAGCGAGCCGGCAACGGGTCCCTTCCAGGTCCTAAGCATCTCGTCCATCTTACGTCGAGTAGGCATATCGACCGATGCGTAGGCATCCATGAATGTCTGATATAACTTTCGGCCGAAGTAAAGCGTATATGGCGTACCCACATTCTTTACGATGGAGTCGAGGACATAGAGGGCAGGGAGCTTCTTCTGAGGAACAACCTAAGAGAGTATTAGTACACTACTCCTAGATATCTTTAAATAAACCTAGTAGATTATGCGTTGATAAGACAACGAGGGTATCCGTCTACCACGTAGTCGGCGCAAAGAAAGAATTAACCCACTCGTTTGATATGATCCTGAAGAGCGCCGGAGATGGCATGCGCGTGCTCGGTATTTTCCCTCGCAATTACGGTCAAGGTACTAATTTCCGTTCTATCGAAACTTTGAAGATCCTCAAGAGCATCCCGAAAGTCCTGGGCTACCGCCTCAGACTCGGAATCGTTGGACATGATTGCTTAATATATGCAAGCACGCGACGAGTGAATCGATGGAAATGAACTTAGCGAGGAGGGCCTCACGACGTATAAGACGAAGAAAGTTCAGACCCTGATTTGTCGCCTTTTCTCCCCCTTGCACGTAGAGAACAATGACCCAGTTCTAAGGTTGTATAGATGTCACAAAGGCAGATGCAGATATATGCCCCTCACTCGATATTCTCACCAGAAATAAAGGCACGAGAATTGAAAGATAGGACCACTCCTGTCTGGTTCCACCAGTTTGCCAAAGTGGCCACGAGAAACTGCCTGGTGGTAGGTATTAAGAGATTATGAGAGCTCAAAACATTGTCTTTCCCAGGATCCCTCTACACCAACGGGCTACGGGACTAGCCAGTATGCAATCCTCTATTTCCCTTGAGAGATACTTAATCTTGTACACACCTGGCGAATGGGTTGGATGCGATCGCGAATAAATCAAGTCGTAAGGTGGTTGAAAGTCGCTTGCTAAAAGACAGGAATCCGATTGCGGATCAGACGAAGATTGCCGTACCTCGAGGATATTGGAAGTTGAAAAGCCGTCGCAAGCAATGCTGTTAGGCTGCCGTGAGAAAATTGTACAAGGAATGATCAGGCCTATTTAAATTGAATCGTCATGTTGAACTCGCGGGGATTGGGAAGAAATAGAAAGTTGTAGGAGAAAGATGAATGCTAGATGTTTAGCTTGTTGACGAAATGTACAATTGGTAGGTGGAAATCAAATAATGAGCAAAGTTCAGGTACTCATCGATACAAAGTTACAAGATCTACCGGATTACCTAATATTGCGGCCATATTGGTCACGTGCTCATATAATACATAATACACCTAACCTTAGCTGGCTTACGGAATACACGTATGGAATCATTTACCTGAGCGCACAATTAATCTACCTAATCCAAGTCACGTACACACGTTAGATTATGAATAACGCGTAGTGTAAAATTAAAAAAATCAAATTGAATACCTGCCATTGCATCGCTTTCCTACCTAACCTAATTATGACTGTTACTAATGTATGCTACAGTAAAAGCTAAAGCAAAATGTCCGCTGTCCATAATTTGGGTATATCCGAAATTGCAAAACCAAACGCCTCATCTCAGTGAACACCGTGCCTTATGCTAAGAGTATGTGGACTAAGCACCCCGTCCAGTTCGTTTCAAATCCTATTTTCACCAAAACGATCAAGATGACTTGCTTCGCTATACCGGCTAGATCTTGATCCGGCATTGTAGGCAGGGTGTAGAGCAGTAGGGGGGCGCTTCACATCGGGAATTATAGGACTGCTGCGGTCGTCGATGGGGAGCTGGTCATCGCAAGCTCCGTACTCAACATCATGAGTAATCGGGTGGCTGATCTTGGGCTTGGAATTGCCCCTGTTGAAGATGGAAAATCTACTCTTGGCCTTTTCCTTACGAATCGAATTGCTTCGGTAGCTGTCGTATTCTTCGGTGAAGTTGACATCTCTGGTAGTCGCGCCATTGTTGCGGACCTCTCGAGCATGAACGCCGCTCGCCCTGTTGCTAAAGACGAGCGAGGCAATGACGTTAGTAACGCCAAACGCGATTGCGATGATACCGGATGCCATGATAGCCTGCCAAACCTGGAATGGTACATCCTCGTTGTTGTAAGTATCATTGCTGAGCGCACCAAGATGATGGCATCCCATAAGAATCATAGCGATGCCGAGCCAGGTGAAGCCGCGGTCTTCGCCGATTGCTGGCCAGTTTCGATTGATCATCGCCTTACCCATTTTGATCGGTAGCTCCGTCCAGAACAGGAGACCGGCGACGGCGATAACGAAGGCGAGGGAGACGTCATTGAAGAACTGGAAGCCGTTGGGCATCTTGGCGAAGAACATCATGATACCCGAGACGAAGATGACGGCCAACAGAACGGCAAGATTGCAAGCACGGATGACCTGGAGGATAATGAAGGCGGAGCCTTGGAATCCGGAACTAGACTTGAAGCCCATGATGTCGGTGATTTTTGCGATACCTAGGGTCGTGTCCCTAGGAGTGTAAGCATTAGCGTTGCGCAACTTAGGCGGCATAGTTGGAAATCTAAGAAATGGGAAACCAACTGTTGAGACTGCCAGCAGCTTGTTACGAATCTATATTTTGTTTCTTTGGTAAACCGGGGATCTGGCTGGCAGATTTATCGAAATCGGTGGAACGAAGGTAGAAGAAGTAAAGACGGTCGAATAAAAGAGGGTTGACGAAAGGTCGGCGCTGAAGGAAAATGTGAGATACCGAATGGTATTGTTGTGTTTTATAAAAGTTGACAACAATGGATTAGGTAGAAGATATTGTTAATATGTACATCCGTCAAGGACAATAAGAACCCTTGTGAATTAAAGCCGATGAACAAGGAAAGTCGTGATGGGCCGGGTGGCTCTGGGAGTTTTAAATAGTAACTAATAAAGAAAAAAAAGAAACGCACTGAAAGAAGTGATGCGAGACGAGGAAAGAGGTTGTATTTAGGGACAACTAAGAATCAAGGACTACCTACCTAAGGTAATCAATTCATGAGAGTATCATGTACCATTTACAAGTGTAGGTTGTGCATCGGGCAAGTTGTCTTCGACCAATAGATTTAATCAGGCGCGAATGCTCTCACGCTTGATGCTCGATCGAAGCCTGAGTATCCCTTGAAATACCCCTCGAACTGCCCCTCGTCAGGGTCGTCAGGGAGGTACTGAACAGTCGAAGGGATTGGTAAACGCGTGTTCCTGACCCAAGCTGGAAGCTACAGAGCACAAAAGACATGGTACGATCTGGAAAATTATTGCTTGCATTTCTTTCAAGGTGCGTATATTTTCTAAGATGCGTATGGTGAATCTCCTTCCCTCAGACGGGTTAGATCTGCAACTGTCCCGGCGCTTGACGCGAATCATAACCCCTAACGATCCGCATACTATGATACTAGGAAACCGGCAGCTAGGAAAATGGCATGGACCTGCAGCGGGAGATCACCCTATCCAATGATTCAAAGGTAGTCTATTTCCCGTTGAGCGAATACATCGTGAGAATTGGCTACGACCTAAATTCTATTGGCTGTCAGTTAACGATTTTGGTTTCACATCGATTTTGGCCCATTAGCCAGACCCCCCACCAAAGTCTTTCTAAGTGATAATTCATTGAATGATTTGGGAATAACTTCAGACTACGTGACTGAACCCCGGAGTAAAGTACGACATATCTGATTGTTCCTTGTCCTTGCAGTGATTCCTTTAAATTATTCTTTATTGTCCTCTAACAAGTAGGCCATTGTTCGCATCTCGATTCCTTCCGGACCTGCTTTAGCTACTAAGGTACCTTATGAATAGATGGTCTATTTTCGTATGGATGCATCTAACATGGATGTGTATAAGAGGTACCTTAGGTACCTGAGGGAGGAATCATATGTATCATCGCAATCACCATCGTAATTAACAACATTCATTAAGATGAATCAGAAACACCTATATTTTAGATCGTTCTACAACTGATTGTACCTGAATCTCATCGGCTATTAGCGAGCTAATGTGGGGGATCTAACGAGTCCACCGCCAAGTCAAATCGATTTTGGTGATTTGGTGAAAGAAGGAAAGAAGGATCGAGAATATCTAGACCGGTGATTAGAAAATGATTTGATTGGTTGACCGTTAAAGTTCTTTGCGGCAGGTAGCCCGCACTGACCAAGCGATAAGCCAGCAGCGCGGCTCTAGGCGGGAAACACCCTTGCGGTACGCTGTGGCGCCCTTTATTTTAAGCAGCTGGCGGCTAGACGCATTAGACACATAAACCTAACTTTAGATTCCTCCTCCTAAACTTGTGAACCCTTCCATCTTTTACCTAACCACCAACAAACCGGTAAGCCACCGACTTGCGTTTTATTAAGCGCTGCTTTTGCTACCTTTCCCTCGTTTATCCTACCTCTCTCCACATACTATATCTGCGAAACCATGGCTCGCGGCAACCAGCGTGAAAAGGCGCGCGAGAAGAACCTCAAGGCCCAGGCTGCTCAGGTGAGTCTTTCCCGCTTTGCTTACGCCCTTCCTATTCGCCTACACACTTTTTTTTTTTTACCGCAACACCCGCGATCGCTTGTCGTGAAGATACTCGAAACGGAATAAGTCTATTAAGCGAAATATGCTGATGGACTTGGTCTGATTCGATATTAACTACCCAACTGATGTATATAATGGAGATACTGAAAATAGCGGAAGTACTTAAGACATAATGTTCATGATATGCTAACCGCTCTTTTGCGCAGAAATCGAAGAACTCCAAGAGCGGTACTGAGATGCAACGTGACAAGGAAGCTGTCGCCGAGATGATGCGCAAGAAGCAAGCTGCTGGTAAGATATATTTTCTTCTTGGAAGGGGAACGAAACGCGGCTATTTAGATCGTTTCCTGCCATATAACATACGTGTTCTGTTCGTAAGCTGATTCATCCTTTGTTTCTAGCCGACGCGAAGAGGGCAGCCGCAGCAGCTGCTGGCGGAAAGTAGATGGACTTCTAGCATAGCGAACGGCGTATTTATATACCTTACCTTAGGTATAGGAGGGATATAGGGCGAATATTTTTTCGACCGGACGGGATTCTAGGCGTATAAGGGCGTCTAGATTTTCTCAATCGTTTCTTGACGAATACCATCATCATTAATCCGTAGTGTTCCCACGATGTGATATCTGCTACATATTTGGTTCACTCAAGTGAATTAATTTTCCACATTGAACAGGCGGTCATATCATGGCATTGGATTAAGTATTGGTATTTTTACTTGATCTGATGACCTATTAAGTGCACCTATAATATACGATCCAGTCATATGTTTAAAACAAAGAATCCCTATGCCAGGCAATAAAAAAAAAAGAAGTCTAGTCATTCAGGTAAAACCCCCAGATATACAGAACATCTCAGATCCGCGCCAACAACAGCCGCGGCATCAGTCGTAATCCCCGGACGCCGTTCCCACCGCTTAAACAGTCTCCATCATGCTCGCAGGTAGACCTCCTGCGAAACCACCGAAGGCACCGATGCCTTGGGCAGCGTTCACGGGGAAGCTACCAGTGCTGCATTGGACGGCGCAGACGCAGGCACCGCCTTCGATGGTACCGGTGCCTTGGGTGACGCCTGATGGAGCGGCAACAGCCCCTGAAGAAGTGGCAGCGGGGGCGGCAACAGCAGTCTCGGTGGCGTTTCCAGTGATGGCGCTGCCGGCCCCTGTACCGTTTTGCTGGATAGCCGCGGCCTGGAAGATGGCTTGCGACTTCTCAGCGGTGGGGTTGATCGAGAAAGTCATACCCTTGCCGCAGTGGCCCTGCTGCTTGCAGTAGAACCCTAAAGTAATGGTTAGTTGAGGCTCTATACAGGAATTGTAAAGGGCTTAAACTTACATAGAGGGTCGGTCGTCATGACTTGCATGGCAACCTTGGGAGGGGGGCTGACGGTGTTGTTGGGGTTGGGTTGGAAGCCGGAGTCCATACCGCCCTCCATGGCCTTGCAGGGCTCGGCGAAAGTGGACTGGGTAGCAGTGTGGTTATTGCTCATGAACTCGAAGATGACCATGTCACCGACGTTGGCCTTTACTTGATCGGGGACGAAGACCAAGCCGGCGGAACCACCGACTTGGACTGTGTGAGTTGCTACCGCACCAGCAGCTGCTGTGGTAGTAGCTCCGGCAGCAAGAGTATCGGTTCCAATCGCTGTTGCTTGCGCGCCGGCAGTGACTGTCTGAGTTACGGTGACTTGCTCGTGCAGCGTCGTCGTCTGAGCGTTGTTTCCGGGGTTCGCCCAGATCACGATAACCTGAGTTGTCTGTCCTAACGAAACGCCCAAGTTGATCGTCTCACCATTGCCTTTAAGACCAGCGAGTTCTTCTAGTTGCTGCTTGTGGTTCCTCTTTTGGGGATAGACGTTGTTAACGGCTTTAGCGATGGCCAGGGGCGCAAGGGCAACCGAAAGAGCTGTAGCGTACTTCATGTTGACGGATTTTGAAGATTGGAGAAATTAAACGTTAATGTTCCTTTTTACGGGAGGTCGTTATATATGGGGTATTGGTATTCCTGAATGACCGTAATGGACCTGGCAATAGAAATGCTTTAAAAGGCGAGGGCCTGCTCGTAATTAAGAGAATGAACAAGGACGTAAAATCACACCGGGACGATGGAAAGAAAAGAACGTATACACAGGACGAGTCGTCTAAAGAGGAGTGAAAAGAAACAACCTAGGTTTGGCCCCAGAGGGAGGACCTCGTTACTTAAATCAAGCATGACGATCTACTAACCCGCTGTCGGGCTTGAATTGGACCCTGAGATAATACATGCCTCCTTGACCAGGAGTCGCCCTCGAAACAAGGGACAGCAAAAATTTCCGTGCAGCGCGCAGCTGGGGATGCCTACCGGGGCCAAGGGAGCCCGATCAAGACTGGAGACGCACGGGAACCGGAAGTATGCCACTTAATCGTTCACCACGACGGAGCACAGTCCAGTATGGACTAGGGCGGCCCATGAAGAAGACGGGTTTCGCGGCTCCAAGACTTACAAGGGCTTGGAGTAGGAGGTGGATGTGACAGAGTTGTCTCGGATGGCGTTTGGACCCCTCGCTTATAAGACTACAGACCAGGGGAATGCGGTCATAGCTCAGCCCCCTATTAGGACGCCAAGGCTGGGGATAGCCAATCCGAAGTTGACCTTTTTTTTTCAATCCGGAATCGTTATTCCTTCTGAGATTAAGTTACGATAAGTTTACAATAATCCGTACTACTATGTACAAATAGAGATAAATCTATGTATTGGTTTATGTCTAGTTAGAAGGAGTTTGAATCTGTATTACTGCAGGAAAGCTGCCATTTCGATTTGTTTACCGCTTAGTATATAATATGACAGCTATTGGTCTAACCTAGACCCAAAGCCTACAGACGAATTGCGATCTGTTCTTGGCACCTATACCGAACACTCGAGGGGACCACGTTTTATTGCTTTTATGCCGGAGCCGGGCTTTTTCTTTTTTTCTCTTCTCTATGGTTAGATTTTTAATAATTGATATGTACCTACATAGTAAGCCAGTTTCAATTTTCGTATGAACAAAAGCATGCTTATCGAGAACCCCAAGAAACCTGCACGTTCCTATGGCGAAAGGACCCGTGCTGAGATCCTCTCCCCTGCCATCCGAACTCCCTGACGGATGAGATTGTTCCTGCTTAAGGGTTAACCTTATCGTAACCCACATCCTGGTTCTCAACCTTTACTCAGGTGAGAAAAAGACTCGAGTCTGGCCTAGTCTAAACTTGATTTGCCAATGCTTGTCATTGGTGTATCCCTGCTCCTTAGTCCTCCGCACCATGCACCGTTACTTGACTAACCTAGTCTCATCCTCAAATTCATCTTAAACGCTCCCAGCTCGTGGATATATAGCGTCGTACTTATGTATTAGAAAACCCCCCAATAAGGCAACGCCAGCGACGGTTTCTTAGTGTACCGGCTCGCTCGGGTTTCGAAATCACCTAAGAGCTGTAATTTACTATGAAGTTGCCGCCGGGTCCTTACTAAAATATTTAAAATGTTAGATTAGTATGGAAATATGCTGCTGATTGTTAATAGGTAATATAGTATTATACCAATTAGACTCTACGAATAATACTAGAAGAGGTATCGTTTTTATTGATTGTATTTCACGATATCTCTAAAATGAAGTAGTATCAACAAGATGTTCCCTCTCAATAACGCTATAAAAAAACGAGCATTTCATGGCTAGGCTGATAATCGCAACCCCAAAGTAAGGAGAAATCAGACCATGATCTTCATCAAGAGCGTAATGGTAGCCTCAAATTTGTTTCTTCGCCTTGCTCCTCCAATCGACATTCTGTAATCTGTAGTATCATGTTGTACTATTCCTTATGGATGGAGACTGGTGCATAATTCGTCGCATAGCGGCAGAATTTAAGCTATGTATGTGACGTTATCGCCGTCACAAGAGCCTGTAACATCTAACGTTACAGATCCCTGCCTGTCAAGTCCATCTCACGAAGAATTCCCATCAACGATTTTAACTACATAGATTCGGGATTAAAGTTATGAGATCTCTAAAGTTTCCCGCTCGCCTCTATTCAGATGCTTGTTGCTGAGTCTGGTTCTGCTGGCTCTGCTGGCCTTCGTAAAAGCCTGTGTAGTAGCCTGCATAATACCACGACATCAATAGTCTCTTGAGGCCTTCGTCGCGCACTGCAATATAATCATCAGCACGACCGACTCCTTCGTATCCAGAGATAGGTACCCTCTTTCTAGAATTTCGACGGGGACAAGGGTTAATATGAAGCTTACCTGAACCTAGCAGCCCTCCGGGACCGGGACCTCCACCAAGCGGATGGCTGTGCTGGGAAGTCGACGTTCCGCTCTCTTGTCTTCCATTCTGTGTTTCGTTAGAATCTTGGGAGATCTATGCCAAGCTTTATTGATCGTCTGGGATTCTCTCAAGGGTAGCCATTCAGTAGGGTTGGGGTTATGACTTACGGTAGCTTCAACTCCCATTTCGGAATCAGCTTCGAGGGGATGAGCCTTTTCAGTCTCGTTCTTGGCATCCGGAGTTGTTCTTGAATGATCTTCATGTAAGCATACATATATGTGGATAAAATATCGTAATTGCAGGAGACAGCTAGGGATTTGAGTGATAGACAGGTGCGAACCTACTCGTCGTCGGACTTTAGAAGGTCTTCCACGTTGCCTCCATTCCTGTGGATACTGTGATATTTCTAAATAATGTTAATGAGACATTGGTTCTTGTCAGCTTTGGAAAATGAAAACCTGGATGCATACCTCATATTCCTTTAGCGCGTCGTTCCACGAGTCTATGAGGGCCGAATCATCCCAAATCTCTTTATGGGACAATGGTTTCTTAGACGGAGCCATGAGGTGCTCTGCTTGTAGGAGGTTACTAAGGCCTGAACCTGGTTTTATGTAAGTTCCGTATGCCTTTAGAAGAGATCAATTAATCGATTTTCTAAACACTTGATGAACAGCTCTATAAACACGTTTGCTGAGATGTTGTATTATTCACATTTCCTAGGCAGTATTGCACCTAAATTAATGCTAAAGGCAGCGTTTGCAGCCTCGACGAACGTACAAATGTATTAAGTACCTAGGTATATATGTACTATGTACTTCTTCTATCTGGGGAAAGTGGGGGTTATCTTTTTCACCGCCAAAGCTTCAACGGCAGAATTACGGCGCAAGAAAAAAAAATGTTCGAACTTTAAGCAGCACAGTAGAAGAGCGCATTGCACTTTAGGTCCATATTATCGACAATACAAACAAAATGGCACCAGAACTCAGGAAGAGGAAATCTAAGGGTAGGATATTACAATCATCGGCTTTAAGTCTTATTGGGCTAATAATAATTATTAGAAGCCGGTATATCGGCCGTAAAGCCTACTACAAAACCCGCCTCTAAAGGCAAGGCCGATATTCTAGCTACCAAACGAAAAGGTCAGTACGAAAAACACATAATCTTAGCTTCTGTCAGCTTATAAGAATTCTACAGCTGCCGATGACGCGAGCCCGATTGCGACAAAGAAGTCCAAGTCGATAAAAGACGATAGCCAATTGAAGAAGGCCAAAACGGACCGTTCAGTAAAGACGAAGCTCTCGAAATCCGCTAAAGAGAGCAAGAAGGACGATAGTGAGGTCGCAAACGAAGACGAAACCCTACAGTCCTCAGATGATGAGCGCGATGATGCTCAGGCTCTTGCAAATGTCGTCGACAGCGACGAAGAAGATGCTATAGTCGATACAAGTGCTCAATTCCAAGAAGGACAAGATGTAGGCGAAATCCCGCAAGCATCCAAGGAGCTGCTCAAATCTTCCAGCTCTGAGGATGGTGAACGTGGCGTCGTATATGTTGGCCGCCTCCCGCGTAAGTTATTTCGTCAATTGGTCTGTAACAGTGCTAATGACGATGATAGATGGTTTCTACGAACATGAGATGCGGTCTTACTTTTCCCAATTTGGCAAAATTGAGAAGCTGCGAATGTCTAGGAACAAGAAGACAGGCGCCAGCAAACATTTCGCATTTATCGAATTCGCCTCCGCGGCAGTAGCCAGCATTGTTTCAAAAACTATGGATAATTATCTGTTATTTGGCCGGATCTTGAAAGTTAAGGTTGTTCCTAAGTCACAGATTCATGCCGACCTCTGGAAAGGCTCAAACAGACGCTTCAAGAAAGTACCATTAAACAAGATGGCCGGTAATCATCTGAAGAAGCCTTTAACCGAATCGACATGGACGCAGAAGATCACGAAGGAGGAACAGAAGCGTAACCAACGCGCAAAGAAACTACAAGGCATAGGCTACGATTTTGAGGGCCCCAAGATTAAGTCGGTTGATGAAGCAGCCAGCGATCCTCCTGCGCTTGAAGGTGTTGATGGCGAGGCACCGAAAGCCATCGAGGCAGTACCTGGGACTGATGCGGCAGAGGCGGAACCAGCCGAGAAAGAAGCAGAAGAGGATAGCCGCAATCCCCCCGAGGATGAGATTGCTGTGAAGGAACCAGCCAAGGCAAGCAAGAAGGGGAAGAAGAAGTCTTCAAAGGTGAAGACGAAGAAGGTAGCAGCATAATGATTTCGAGTCGTTTTTTATACCTACTTAGTTTACTATAAATTTAAGAGACCTTGCGATCAGGAAAGGCCTGGGCATTTTATTTGAAAACTGCACATTGCGTGTATATCATGAACGGAAATATGCTTCTATTTTGGTCATCACCCTCCACATGCACCTTTTCGTGAGAGGATGATATATCTGCACATAGCGAACCCGCTGTACCCGTGGATTAAGTCAGGTAAACAGCAGGATTATAAAAGGCAATTTTCGCTCTACTTCGACCAGAAGAATGAACCAGCCATTAGAGCTCTATAGTTGAGCAAAGCAGCTTCGATTTTAAAGAGTTCTAGCGAAGATGGTAAAATATGTGAAGAAGAAAGGAAAAAAAAAAGTAGCCTCAGAACTTGAAATTCTTTGTATGTATTATGAATAATTGACCAATCAAAGCCTCGTAAGGACTGATTGGTCCGTGGCATGACAAGCCACACCTTAATCAAAGCCATAGTGGTGGGGGGCTACCAGAGCGGAAATATGAATCTTTCATATGGCACTTTTAGATCAACATTCTATAGAAAAATGATTCGGTATCAAGGCCATTCGCTAAGCTGATATCGTATTAAAGGATAAGCTGTGACAGGCTATTCTTCATCTATAACTCTTGGCTTCTTAGACGTCACATGGAGATGCCTAATGCCTCTTTTATTTACAGGTGTTTTACGTGCTATATAGGAGGCTCAGTTGACAAGTCCCCGCCGTTACAGTGGTCGGATAGTTGGAACGAGCCCTGTATGTATTGTGGGACTCTAGCCGGCCTAGCAGGCTAGCACCCTAATTAATCAACTGTAATTTGATTCGTTACCTAAAATAACCACTGCACTGTAAGGTACCGAGTGTATGTACAGGTACCAGGGGACTCGATAAACAGCAACGGCTTACGTGTGGATTCATTGTGGACTATGATTTTACAGCAGAACGTCGCAACCTCTAAACGTTTTTACATTAGGTAGTAAACGTCTCTTCGATTACAATTCGAGGATTATCTACAATTGATGCTACCGTTTTAGACCTTGCATCTTCACGAATGATTTCATCATGACTCCCACAGAACCTTCGCAGCAGTTAAATACTGGTTGGTCTCTAAACATTCTTCTCGTCGTCTTGCAGTGTGATTACAATAACTAACATGGTGTAATATAGGTGCTAAGAAAAAGAATAACAAAAAGAAGAAGAATGCCGCGAAGCCGAAACCTCTCGAGGACGGGATTAAAACCACAGATATAAACCAAGACGGAGTGCGTCCCGAGGATGACGGCAACGAATCCGACGAGCCAGACACACCCGCGACAGAAGTGAGCCCGACCAACTTTGAAATCAAGTTCTATAGTTGAGTACTAATGAAGTTGGTAGAATGCATCAAAAGAGTCCGCAAATGGTCACGCCACGTCGCCTACCACCAATGGACACCCCGCCCACGAACCAGTCACGAACGAAACAACCGAATCCACAGACACAGACACAAATGCCCGGCTGGACGCTATAACACAGGAGCGTGAAGCTTTAAGAGTAGAGGTAGAGCAACTGCGAAAACAGCTCGAAACCATACAAGAGACGCACGCCCAAGAAACAGCTCAGCTAAAATCAGACTTGGAAGAATCCGAAGCCACGAAGGAGCAGGTTGAGGAGCAATATCAAACCCTCGTAGGCAGGGTCGAGAAGATCAAAGAGAACGTCAGTACCAGATTAGCAAGAGGAAAGGAAGAATTAGAAGAAGCAAATCAACGTATTGAAGAGTTGGAAGGACAAAACGAGGAGCTTCAAAAGGGTGCACAAAGTTATCAAGATGAGATCGAAAAGCTCAAGATCGAGCTGCAAGATGCGACACGAGAACTATCTAGTCTCCGGAGCAGGAACAACCTTTCTCAACACAACTCGTTAAAAGAAAAGGAAGACCTGACGCGGCAGATACAACACTTAAGGGAAGAAGCAGAGGCGGCTAAGGATGCGATGGGTGACTGGGAAGTATTAGCCATGGAGGAACGGTCGATTAGAGAGAGCCTGTCCGAGAAAGCAGCCGCCCTAGAAGAGCAACTATTAACACTCAGAGAAAGCTACGAGCGAATTATAACAGAGCGGGATAGCCAGTCTCAAGCTGTTGATAGTCTCCAGAGGGCACTTCAAGAAATCCAAGAGGCCCGCAAGAAAGAGTTGCGTGAGATGGTTGAGACATCCGAAGAGCAACTTCAGGCGCTCAAGAAGCTCGTTCAAGAGGCGGACACGAGAGCAACTGAAGCAGAAAAGGTTAAGGAATCGTTACAGAAGGAGTTGGAGCGAACTGCGCCCTTCGAGAAAGAGGTCAAAGAGAAGAATCTCCTCATCGGCAAGCTAAGACACGAAGCTATCGTCCTAAACGATCACCTAACAAAAGCTCTTCGATACCTCAAGAAGACCAAGCCTGAGGACAGCATCGATAGGTTCGTTGGGTCTTGTTTTATTGTCGTGACCCCTATAACATGGTTGCTAACTTGACGTAGACAAATTGTCACGAATCACTTTCTTCAGTTCCTCGCCCTTGACCGTTCTGATCCCAAGAAGTTCCAGATCCTCCAGATCATCGCAGGACTCTTAAATTGGACAGACGAGCAAAGGGAACAGGCCGGGCTGGCGCGGCCGGGGACTTCTACTAATAGTCTCCGCCTCCCTACCTCTCCGTTCCACAGAACGCCTAGTACGCCGTCTCTGAGCGCAGACTTCTTTTCAGATACGACGCCGACTTCGGCCAGTAAAGAGTCCCTTGCCGACCTGTGGGCCGGGTTCTTAGAACGGAGCGTGGAAGAAGGATCGCAACCAGGAGAGTCAAGGAAGGGCAGCATGTCGAGTACAGCCGGCACGACGAGGCCGGATACTCGAGGTGCTTAATTAACTAGGTAGCAAATACTACTAACCCGTGTATCTGCGTTACAATGCGTTTTACTGTTTCGACTGCGGCTAGCTTTGATAAAGGCACATTAGCATACCATGCAGCATCTAATGGCGTTTGTCGGGTACGGTTCAAAGGGACAACTTTAGTTGGTTCCTGGGGGGAAGGGGGGAGGATAGGTTATTCAAATGGATCACTTGGATCTTAGCCATCAGTTATACCTTCGTATACCCAACTCTTTCCCGGGACATGCGGCGGCTGCTTAATATGTATCAACTGCTTACGCATCTACAATGTTGAAATAATCACGCAGCCAATCCGAATAGACGTGCCGGTCTCAGACGGCCCATGTTGAATTTTACCATCGACCCAAGTTTAAGTCCAAACCGAATTTTATTCCGTCTTATCCATGTATAAGGCTCTATCTATACACGCCATCCCATCGCCTAGTTATCCCACAGTCATCTCAGATGTAACCGCCTCTTCCATCCTCGGCAACACATTCAGCGCGTAAGCATCGGCGTCTCTCGTAATATCACCAATATTAATACGATTCTGTAGCGCATCATTTACACCCTCGACTACCTCGCGCTCCTCCATAACCTCCTGCATCACCACGCCCTCGTGGCGCCAGTACGCCTGGCTGCGTGTCCGTAGCTCCTCGTCCCGGTTCGCCGTGTTCTTAATTATCCCCACTGCGTTCAACCGTCCCTTCGTCCCTTGCAGTTGCCGCGTTATGGCTTCCACGCGCGCGGCGGGGCTCGGCGGGGCGACGAAGGCTCGGTTGGTGCTAGAGAGGTACAGCAAGTAAGCCAGGAGGAAATCGAGAGATGCGAGCCCGAGGTGTCGTGCCGTGCGCGAGGTCCAGAAGAAAGGATCGAGGTCGGTCAAGCGTGTAGCTCGCGCGTTCGCTTGGTAGTTATACGAGTTGGCGAGGTATACGTCGAGAGCGGCGCCGAGACCGCTGGCTACGGCGGCGGTGGCACGCCACTTAGGGCCGTAGGACCCAGATATGAGCTCGGAGGTTGCGAGGGAGGCGAGAACGAGGTTGATGAGATGTTGCGAGAGGAGCGCGGGAAGAGCGTAGTAGAAGTAGGAGCGGGGATCGTCGGAGGTGCAAAAGGGACAGGTGGCTAGGACCTCGGGGCCGAATTGTAGGTATAGCAATCTAGACTCTAGGTTTACGAAGCGCGCGCGCAGAGCGTCGTCGGCGGCGGAGAGGGGGCGTAGAGACGCGAGACGGTTGAAGAGTACGTCGGTCGGGATCTGCAGGCGGGACTGCGTGCGCACGAAGACGTTCTCGGGGGAGAAGATGGGAAGGAGGCCGAAGAGCAGGACTAGACCGCCCACGACGAGCGCGGCGATGGCGCGTAGAGCTTGCGGCGGCACCGGCTGTATCGAGACGCCGGCGGCGCGGGGCGCGTTGCGGACGGAGCGGTAGTAGGTTATGGCCTTGGGGAGGAGCATTGGGCCGAAGAATATGAGGAGGGACTTTATCCTGGAGACGGCGGGCGTTATATTAGCTTTCATGTCTTGAGTGTATGTAGGTACCGGAAGATATATGTCATGCTATATGTAATGTAAGTTTCCTTTCGGCTGGTGGTGTACTCACGTTCCCCAGGGAATCGCCATCGTGTCTTTTGCTATCTATGTAGCTAGGCGTATTCTAACCATGCCGCTACTATGCGTGCTCTGTGTATAAACAAAAAGGAAGTTATTTCGTTTGAAGGCCAGCTTGGCCAGATGATATGTACATGAACAACAACCTTGGATGTCAGTGTTAGACACATTTAAGGTGGTGTGTCAGTGTGTCTCCATTTGAAGATCGTCACAGGTGTCAGGGTGGTTGTACTTGTACCTAGGTACATGACGCATTTAATCGGGACAGACAATGCATCCCGGTGTACCTATGTACCTACATGAAGAATTAGTGGGTTCGAGCTTGAGCTTTTGATAGGTCCGTGGTCTCGATATCCACTTCTTTATTTCTCTTCAAATTTCGCGGTGCTCTTAGAAAATTTGTATTTCCTCTTCTCAACTCTCCATGATACAGAAAACTTGCGAGTCACAAGAGCGCATCTGAACTGGATTTGAGGATCAGACCTTTGACGGTGGATGATGCGGTATATATGCTGCCTATCGTTTATTATACTGGTCTAGAACTAGCTGTCTAGAATATGCGAGTATTCAGGACGACTACGTCTTCAACTCGCATCTTTATAATTGCAGATCCAAGGTAAGAAAATCATCGTGTATTTATTAATGGCACTTTCGAAGCTTTAACGATCTTTTTCTCCATGGTCGTCAGAGTCAATATGCTGCCTAGAGCGACCCAAAGTACTCTGCCAAGAGTCATCTCAATCGTGTTACAGAGTTCCTAGCATTCCGCCATGAAAAACTCTGCGTCAAATTTTAGATGAGAGACATATCCCATATCTATTAGTCGATTAGTCGATTAAGCATCGATTAAGCAATAGCCCATACGCAACGTAACGTAACATAACTTCTACCTATACCTAATGTATCCCGGACAATCATGAATCCTTCTTAGCCTTTGCTCCTTGTGACTTTGGTATGGGACCCTTCTCTGCCGTCATCTTGACTGGTTGTTTCTCTGCGATGCTTGCACCTCGTAACAATCCTAGAATTGCCGTAACGGTATCGCTCACCAATGAGACTATCCCGGCACAGGCTACCTGCCACGATGCGATGCTAACGCTGCCCACGGGGGCTCGTGGAAAGGACAGAATCCACTCGGCGTAGTATGGGAACCAGCCGCGCGGGAGCCAGAACATGGGCTGCTTTGCGTACCAGAAAGGGAGGAGGAACTTCAACCCGGATGTCGCTAACCAACGTAGAATGTTGACGGTACTGTCGAATCTCGACTTGGCGCTTTCGTATGAGGCTTCTTAAAACATAAATCGGTCAACTTCATCTTCTATTGCCCATATCTATCTCTCGCATGTTCGGGGGGAAACTAACTCATCTTCTCTAACTGTTCCAATAGCTTATCGTGCTGCCGTCGGAGCTTTGCCCATTTCGCAAACTGGTCCTGACTGCTCGTAGCATTCAGGTCGCGGCGGATCGTAAGATATTCCCTTTGCAGAGTCTTCTTCTCTGCCGCCTGCTTCGAGAATTCGGTCGGGAGAGCTAGATATAGGTTCCATAACTACATCGCGGTCAGCCATTGATTGATATGATGCTACCCTGGCATGTTCGGAGAATTATCCTACTAGATTATTTATCGTCGCGGCGCCGACAGTATTCACAAGGTGAACACCGAGCTCGACTAGGAATATCAGTAGCAGTACAGATATCATTTCGTCTCGAGCACTGCTTTTCATAAGTTAGAAGGATAACGTCACAGCGGACAAGTTTGATAGGAGAACAATACCTATAGTAGAATACCGAAAGAGGTAGAAAGCTTTAAATTCGTGGCTTATTCGATATGTGGCCTTGAAACCTATGATGCTTAGATAGATGCGTTACTAAGATAAAAATTCATTTATGAGTATTAGTTTACCAGTTTACTAGCTATTATTTGTTTAAAGTATATTACCCCACTACCAACATCACAAGGTCCATCTTTAAGGTCCCCATTTTTATATTTGCTGTCCCATCAACGTACACGTATATTCATTTACATGCCCAGACATGAACTGGTATCCAGCTTCTAGAACTATGGGTAATCTACTAGGTATGATTTACTTACGTACTATGATATTTGGTATTTAGGGCTGCATAAATGGTTACCATATACATACTTACCTTGCGAAGCAATTCTATGCCTGACTAACAGCGGCCCTCACATTCACGATGTCCCGCTCGCTAGATAAAGATCTTCTAGCTCACCTAGAAGCTAATGATCCAAATGAGGTATATAAGGACATCTCGACAATCCTCACGAATCTACCAGAAAATGAATTGCTAGAGATTGAGTTGCTTGGGAAAAGTCATCCTCTACAACCAGGGATCAACTACCTTAGAGATGGCACGGCTGTTGCAATTCCTAAGCTCAGGCTAGTTCAAGCATTTTTCGTTGCACGCCGATTGCTACAGGCCTATCATGAGGATAGCACAGTAAACCGCAGCGGAGTGATGGCTGCAACAGCTGTACTGCTGCTTATGGACCCCGAACATCTGACAGCCGCTAATACCCGGAAACGACTGCTCATATTGTCATTAGAAACTAGCGAGGCGGATGAGTTGGCATTAAGACGGGAGAAGCAGTTTGTGGATAGCCTTCTCACGTCAAGGCTGTATCGGCATGCCAAATCACCAACTCTCTGGTCACATCGCCGCTGGTTGCTCCACCTATATACAATTCACGACGTAGTCGTGGACTTGCAGCACGATGTTAAGAATGTTATCATGATAGCAGGAATCCGACATCCTCGCAACTATCCTGCCTGGCATCACGCTCGGCTCTTAGTGGATCGTAATCCGGGATTGGCCGAGTCTATAGTTGCTGATGTTAAAGAGTTCTGCTTGAAGAATCATACCGATATTTCCAGCTGGAGTTTCCTCGTCTATGCCATGGGCAGGATTAAAGACAAAGAAAGCCGCGGCATGGTCTACTCTTCCGTTTTTACAGAAGTCCTTGGTATCACTGACTCGTTGCGCTGGATAAGCGAGTCTGTCTGGACATTTCTGCGCGCCATAGCGACGGTGGAATTCATTAATGATCAACAATTTGAGTCATTTTTGGCCGTAAATAAGAGGCTCGCTTCCATAACACCGGAGGGCGGTAGTCAGTGGCGAACACTGGATAGCGCACAACGTTGGTGCGAAAAGCATCGCCCTCTAATGGGGTCCAAAATGGCAGAATGAGCCCGAATTAGTACAGCAAAGCTACCAACCGTTGGAGGAGAAAACATGAGGCCTCGGTATTGATCAGCGAGTTCGATGAGTCAGGTCAGGCCACAAAACCGTAAAGACTTGACCTTGTCCGAGTCAGGTCAAATATATTCGGGACTGACCTGGGAGCCCTTATAAAGCCACACCAGCCACATAAATTTCTACCCACCACTTAAAGGTATATACCCTCATTTTTTACCTGGTTTGGATAGATATCCCATAAAATGTATCTACCCAGGTTAGGTCAAGTCAGGTCCAAGTCAGGTCAAGCTATTAATTGACTCGTCGAACTCGCTGGGTATTATGCTGTCAGCAACTCATTACTTGGACGACCGAACATCTAAGAATAGACCAGTCTAGATGTTATACGCCATTTGCTTCCTTCTTGCCCTTGCTTCCGTATCTCCTTCTTGTAATGGACGAAAGAGGATGGACGTCTGCTTCAAGTTGAGGCTCATCAGTTGCACATACATAGCTTATCCGGATGACGGCTGAGGGAGGTCTTTGTGCCGAATAACTAAGACGTGGCTCGGCAGTCGACAAACGACCACGCTGATAGGTCCGAAGTTCGTGGTAGGCTGACGCAGGGGCTTAGTTCTGCTACAACGTGGACGGCTTTGTCCTATAATTATCCCGTCACCTTACATTTTGGGTAACTAAACTGTCAACCTCAGAAATCGGATACTTCTTGGCCGTGATCGAGATCCGATCCTCCTATAGGGTTTGACAGAGATCCGAGCTTCCAACCGCCATACTACATAGTACAAAGTGGCTGAAAGCCGCTTGAGCTTACGGAAGTTTTCAAGCGGCTGATAAGAATTGGAGTGACGGCTTGGTGGCTAGTAATACCAAGCGCCGGCCTCTCCGTATTTTACGTGGTTGGCCTCTGACTCGGTCGCCTCGTGTCGACCGAAACTAGTCTCACCTTGACGCCAAACATTTCAGACCTATTTTCTATCCCGAAGTGCGTAATCTTGACTTACATAGCACCTTATCAGAGAATTCTCCCTCCAGGCTAGGTCGCTCGAGTACCCCGAGTCAGGGTCCCTGACTGTCCTGATTAACTCCTGTGGCCCGCAGTTGACGGCCAATGTGAGATTTCTTATGTCAAGGATCTCCAGACTCAAGCGTCTTCTTGGCTGCTCATCAATACCCGTTCAGTCCGAACTCCACATGGGGCCAATGAGGTGGATCCCTGCAAGCAATCTACACTAGCTCTGTCAGTCTGTCCTTGAGCGTTGTCAGGTTGTATGGGGTTTGTATGTATCGCCGAGGTCGTATTGTACATATTACATATTACATACTGTAGGCTTCTGTTATCAGTCATTTTCCCAACATTGAAGCCAAGCAACCAAGTGGCGCCAATTACACTACCAACAACCCAAGCACTAAGCACTTAAGCACCCGAATGCTGGTTTACGAGGTAGTCCTTCTAATTCTGTTGTGGCAGAGTCGGAAGGGATACACAGCTCAAAGCATCGAAAAGAGGCCTCGAGGCTGCAAAGAACGGTAGCTTCACGACCGTTTTGCGCCGCAAACAAGAAGTCTCTATGTACATATTGGAGATGGGCCAATCCCGAGTCGTCGGCCAGTTTAGAGGGAGACCCAATTTCCCAAGCAGATCACTATAATAAGAAACTACTTTACAGGTACTTGGACGACGCTATAGCCGCATGGCATTCCGAGGTCATCTTTAAGTATATTAAAAGCCGTGCACCCACAAATGGCGCTATCTCTGCTTAACCCCTGGTCAGCAGGGGTTTTCCCTTGAGCGTTCGTTGCCCCTAGTGCTAATCCGATTGATCATTTCGAGATAGACACGGAGAGAAATGGACGAGATGAAGTAAAATAACTTGGGAAGAAAAAGAAATGGACAGCTTCGGCTACTTGACTCGTAGTCTATCCCGCAGTCTAACGCTATCCTCATCTACATACACATAGAGAGCCAACGAACAGGAAGGCCAAGATAGGTACTGGGCTTGACGACTGTAGCAGGGGTTGAGGGGGGAATCGTTAACTTTCCTTCCTCCTCCCGTCTTTGCCGACCTCCACTAGGTATTCACACTTACCTTCTCCACAGCCATCTGATATCTATTTTTTTTTTCTATTGTTGGCCTGAGTCGTCGTCTTTGTTTCACTGCCACATACCCGATCGTTTTGGTTTACTCTCTTTTCATTGAAATAGACCGGGGCGGCCTAGTTGGAATTCTCTACCTGTCTTATTTATCAAACGTGTTTCTCCCGGCGGTGCACTTGTTTTGGAATCCCTATCGACATATCGAATACTCCTACGAAACCCTACGTGCCTTGTATCTATCTACACTCCACGGACAACCTCCTCTTTCTAACTTTTCCCTTCCGGCCAATTTCTTTTTTTTATAGCTCTCTGGTTTATCAACGACACTCTCTTAATATCTAATTATAATATCTAAACCAGAGGGTCTGGTACTCTTGAGCCATAAATCGCCAGTATACCACCTCGAGGACCGAATTGGCTCTGTAGCATTTTGCTTCCGCCCCTAGCAAAGCCCTCCCTACCCAAATCAGCTACGCGGTATTGGATCCGAATGTGTGTGGCGGCGTGATTTTCTATCGTTCAACTACAGCAACCGGCCCGGCCCGGAAACCGAGGCACTTGGTAATTCGAATCGGGGGATAACGTTGCGGAACTCTTCAACATGCATCAAGGCAGGTTATCGCTACAACTCCTACTATGGGGTACCGCTCTCGTCCAGGGTCTCCCCACAGACGAAAACTCCAACAGTCGTGACAGCTTAGAGAACCGAGAGGCTTCCAATAACATCGGATTTAACTCGAAAGCCAATGGCAATCTAAAGCGAGATGATCCTAGCGATTCTAACCCGCAACTCGGGTTTGTAACATTTAAGATGAGCTCGAAACGATCAGATGTATGTTAAGCTATCGTGGCCGCGAAATTTGTATATACTAACAGGTAGCTCTATTTAGTCCAGAGACAGCCGCACAGAGAAACTCTCAAGAGATGCTCAGAACCTAGCAGCTAAGTACGGGTCCAAAATGCCCACTCGTGCCACATCCGAGTATCCTGCTATTCGTAACCGAGATAACAACTATCACGTGGATACCGCCGTCAAGCCTTCAGTCAGCAACGCTGTGGGAATCGACCAGGACGGAACGGACTACTCGTACTTTATAGAAGCTGCCTTTGGCTCCGAGGGGAAGAAGATGTACATGCTTGTGGATACTGGTGCTAGTACAACGTGGGTTATGGGCTCGGGTTGCACCACTGGCGCATGTACCAAGCATAATACATTTGGACCGAACGATTCCAAGACGTACAAGGACACCGGAGAGGGCTACTCTGTCCAGTATGGTTCCGGAGAAGTGAGCGGGCACGTCGTGTCTGACAGTATCAGCATCGCAGGGTTGGAGGTGACAATGCCCTTTGGCGTCGCCAATGTCACTTCAGACCAATTTTCCCAGTTCCCCTTCGAGGGCATCTTAGGGCTGTCCATGGTCGACGGCACGTGGCTTACCCATCTCAAGGACGCCAAGCTGATCGATTCCAACGTGTTTGGGATTGCGTTGAACAGGAAGGCGGATGGCGTTAACGACGGTGAGGTGGCTTTTGGCGCGCCGAACAAGGCCAAGTATACGGGTGACATATCGTACACTGGTCTCAAATCCGGAAATAGTTGGGCTATCCCGATGGACGATGTGCTGTTTGGTGGCAACTCGGCTGGAGTAAAGGGCAGACTTGCCTATATCGACACCGGCACCACCTTTGTTTTCGGCCCCCCTGACGATGTTGCAGCTCTGTATAAGCTGATCCCCGGTTCTAAGACCATCGACAAGGGCGAGACTTATACTGTTCCGTGCGATACCGATGGTGAAGTCGCATTCTCTTTCTCTGGAAAGACTTACACTGCCTCTTCAAAGGACTTCATAACTGCTCCCAACACTGCTGGAACTTGCTTTGGCAGCGTATATGGAATGGAATTTGTGCCCGGCGCGTGGCTTATTGGAGATATGTTCCTGAAGAACGTCTACAGCGTGTTCGATATGGATCAAAAGCAAATCGGTAAGTTTGAGCTCGCATAGCATGGGCATATCACGGGCATATCGATCGAGAGACTAACTAAAAGCATAGGATTCGCCGCTAGAGCAGCTTCCGGTAGCGGTACCAGCAGCAGTGCAGGCCCCAGTGGGACGTCAACGGCATCTCCGAGTGGCTCGTCGACTTCCGGATCGGCTACCGCAACGGCTGCATCAGCTGGCTCCAGCTCAACGGGTTCTCCTTCGGACGGTTCCGGGGTTGGCCTCGTTCCCGGAGATACGTCAACCGCAGGTTCGGGCTCGAGCAGTTCACCAACAGAGTCCGCACCGGGCAGCACACCCACTGAGGACTCCGCCGGTGTGAGGTTAAGCGCAGTAGGCGTATACACATCCTTAATGTGTGTCCTATTAATCAGCATGATTATGTAGGCATAAGGCGTCTTGGGTCTTAATTCTCGCTCATTCATTATATACACACTACGCGTAGACTGCTTCGCTAAAGCAGATGACAATCCTTCATCACGGTATACTTACCATTTGGATAGAAAGGGGGTTACTAGGTTTTTGGATAAATACCTCTAAATAAGAGCATCCTCCTCTGGTAGAGGAACAGTACACGGACATTTGATACCCAGGGCGGGTGAGGAACGAAAGAGTCAGCAGCCTAACGCCGGCATATAAAACCAAAATACGCTGTTAGGTATTCTATTTATGATTATATAATAGACAGTGAAATATTCAATTCTAGGAGCTGGCACTATTTGTTGAGCCGTTTTATGTGATAATTTACCTGGTAGGTATAAGCTTTAGTGACATAGAGTGTAGAGTGATGCTCTCCTAACGATTCTCCCTTAAAGATCGTCACTGAGTAGGAAACGAAACTTAGAAACTACGTAATAGTACTTGGGTACAAGCCCCTGACCATGCACTTAATATCGGACCGACCTTAATAAAGTTGAAGCTTAATCCGTAGAGAAGGCAGGACCCAGACAACAGGGACTTACCTAGAATAGGGACTTAAAATGGGGTTTCATTCACAAGCTTTGGAACCAATCTGCCAATTAGAATCCCCTGCATTAGTCCATGAATACCTAGTACCTAATCCGTACATACGTACATCTTATCACATGACGATAAGAAAGAAACCCGTAATCGTTTCATTGACACTGGCCTGGACTCGACGAGGCGCGGCTCAACTTGAGATCTGTTACCTGTTACCAGTAAATTGGATTGCACTCGCTACTAACAAAATCAACCCGTTATTGAGGACGGAACCGATTTTTTACCTTGCAAGGATGCCGCCGTGATAACACAATGGCCAAGGCCACGACTCATAGCTCTAATAGAGAGCAAACGCGCAATACCAATCCAACCGAAGCTCCCGCAAACGAAGAGCAGCATGGTCTGTTAGCAGGAACCGCTTCTGATGAAGACGAGGACGGGAACGAGAATGGCATTATAGTGTATCCGAGTAACGGTGACCTCGACGCTCCTCCTAGTTCTATTCGCACTCCGGGCACTCCAAGAACCCCTAATCGAGTTCGGTTTGATCTAAGACCTACCAATATTCCACCTCCTGCGAATGGCCACGATCGTCCAGCCTCACCCGTTGATTATTTCGATATTGCCGAACCTGACAGCCCTATCTATGACGATTCAACACCAAGACACCCCCTACTAACCGATATCGAAGCTCCCTCTATAGCCTTAGCCAACAGCCTTGACGATGATGTCCACGAGTGGGCCGAACGAGAACGGACGAGACCCAAATCTGGGATGCGCTCTGCGTTTATGAATATGGCGAACAGCATCATCGGTGCCGGTATTATCGGACAGCCATACGCATTCAAGGACGCCGGTCTGCTGGCGGGCATCGTACTGCTTATCAGTCTGACCATCATTGTCGACTGGACCATTCGCCTGATCGTCATCAATAGTAAACTAAGCGGCGCGAATAGCTTTCAGGGGACAGTCGAGCACTGCTTCGGCAAACCGGGACTGGTCGCCATAAGCATTGCGCAATGGGCTTTCGCGTTCGGCGGCATGATTGCCTTTGGAATTATTGTCGGCGATTCGATACCACAGGTTCTACGCACGATATGGCCGGGGTTGAGCAGCACGCCTGTATTATGGCTCCTCGCAGACCGCAGAGCGGTTATTTGTTTCTTTATACTTGGAATAAGCTACCCGTTGACGTTATATAGAGATATTGCAAAGGTAAGCCTGTTACAATGTAGCGAAAATAAATCTGATCGACCAGCTAAAGTGAAGATAGCTCGCCAAAGCAAGCACATTCGCTTTGATCAGCATGGGTATCATATTAGTTACCGTCGTCGTCCAAAGCGTTCTTACTCCCGCGGAAAACCGCGGCTCTTTTACCTTACCGTTACTCACAATAAATGATGGCATATTTCAGGCTGTTGGCGTTATTTCTTTTGGTATGTGCGCTTCGCTTCGTCAACTATGGTTTAAACCTTTAAACCGAGTAACTATGGGTATTACAAGGTGTTTAAGGTGGTAGCAGTGGCTAACAAAAGCCAGCATTCGTCTGTCAACATAATTCTCTCCTAATCTACGGCTCCCTCAAGACACCAACAATAGACCGCTTCGCAAAGGTGACTCATTACTCTACGGGCATCTCCATGCTGGCATGTATGACTATGGCCCTCGCGGGCTTCCTTACCTTCGGAGATAAGACGCTCGGAAACGTGCTGAACAACTTCCCGGCCGATAATACGATGGTGACGATCGCGCGGCTTTGTTTCGGGTTGAACATGCTCACGACGCTACCGCTAGAGGCGTTCGTCTGTCGGGAAGTCATGATGAACTATTGGTTTCCTAACGAGCCCTTCAATATGAACCTGCACCTAATCTTCAGCTCGGCATTGGTCGTCTCGGCCATGACGTTGAGTCTGCTGACTTGCGATCTCGGGGTCGTATTCGAGCTCGTTGGTGCGACGAGCGCCTGCGCGCTGGCGTATATCTTGCCGCCGCTGTGTTATATCAAGCTGAGTTCAAGGTCATGGAAAACGTACGTCGCTATGGGCGTCGTGGCGTTTGGGTGTTCCGTCATGGTTATCAGCATGTTCCAAGCTATTGGCAAGATGATCAAAGGTTAGTTTAGCTGCCGACGTGGCTACCCGTCTTTATCCGGTACCAGAGCTGACTTATATCTGTTGTTGTTGTTTTTCGTAGGCGGGGGTGAACCATCCCAGTGCGTCTAAAGCTAGCTATAGGATTGTTGTCCTTGGCTTTTTTAACCTTGGAGCAAAGGGAGGCAAACTGCATATTGCATACAGCAGCCCGCTATTTAATGACGCCAGTCCCCAGTCCCCAGTCGGCATCGAAAGGGTCGCGCGATAGTTGAATCATATCATCGGGCAACGCCACCGGTCGATGGCAGCCGTTAGCAGCATGGCGAAGCTACATTTTACATTACAAGGCGTTAATTTGAGGATGATCCAAGGCGAAAGGGATCCGCCTATGTGCAGCAGCTCTCCACCTCGGTCATCCTGCAGGTGCACAGCAGCAAGGGTAGTAGTTAGTTAGAGTACCTAGTAGGGGGTGTGTGTGTGTGTGTGTGTGTGTGGGTTGTACGGGCTGTATGGGTTGTAGGGGTTGGGATGTAGGTATCGCTTATCGCGGGACGATGGTCTGGCTGGTCTGGCTGGTTTTACGCGGCACTTTGCAGTTTACTTTCTAGGCCACTCACAGATCACAGATGGATGAGCACATGCACGATTGATTAGATAGCGAGTCCGCGTCTGGATGGGCAGATGGGCCGATGCAAAGAACCACTTTAAGACAAGACCGAAGCCGTTCTACCCACGCCAACGCATACCGGCGCATACACACGCATACATACTCTCTTATACACGACATATTTTGCAATATATAGGTATACATATACCTACCTATATACATATACATATACATATAACTATACATATAACTATACATACATGATACACTCATACATACCTAACCTACACAGTATAAGTCCTATAAGTCCTAGACTACTACTACATACTACACACTACACACTACACACTACTCCTCCGTCATCTCCATCGTGGCACATCCATTACCTTTGGCGAATACGTAGGAGACCGAAGGCGAATTCCGTTACCCTATATCTTTTTTCCCCTTTCCCCCTCCACGTACGGCTTATAGCTTACGCGCTACCCCAACTCTAGTAATCCGCGCGGAGAGCAAAGCAGCTGACCTATCGATGCCGCTCCCCATTAGGAAGGCTCCCACTGGCTCCCACGTCGAGCGGGACCCGTGACTTGGCTAACTAGTCACTGGTCGCGGTCTTCTAGATGATGTATGTGTATCCGGGGTGCAATATCTAGCTTGTAATAGGGTGTAGGTAAGATAGGCAGACGGCGTAGAGCGAGACAGGGCGATATAGGCAGCATGTGAAGCATCGTGCGTATGCATGTGTGTGTGTGTGTGTGTATGAGTGTATGGGTGTATGTGTGTATGTGTGTATGTATGTAGCTAGGCAGGTAGTAGGGGTGAGGTAAAGACGGGACGGGACATAAGAGAAAACCGAGTGAGAGATATGTAGAGTGAGAGATAGAGATGGCATTCAGAAACAAGAATCACTCGATACATAATACAGTATCGTATATACAATTACATACTACCCCATCAAACCGAACCCCGCTTGTCAATTTATAAATAAAAGCTCCAAAGACGAGAGACCCTTTCGATAATCTAGCTAGTCCCCTTTTTATTTTTTTTTTGTCCTCTTATCCACCGCCTTAAATAAATACTCAGTCCACCCACTCACCCGTCACCCGTTCCATCATCACACCACAGTCGAAAAAGAAAAGAAAAAAAGAAGAAATTTTACGCCAAACAAACAACCAAGATCAACTCTCGATCTCCCCATCTGTCGTGAGTATAACACTACCTACTGCCCTGAGGATCAACTGTCGTGATACCAACCTAACCTACCTACCCGCCTGTCTTACACATCTATACATACCTACGTATATGTCTATATACACACACACATATATATATATATACCTCCGTCCCTCCTCATCGTAGAGCGCGAGACACGGCTTAGCCTTATATGATTTATATATTTATTACCTACCCTCTTACTCCGTCTTACATATTTCGCGGACCAGCTAGTCCTAGCTAACCAACAACAACACCAACACAGCAAATAGATCCATCCATACCATACCGCATATTATCGCCAAGGACGTAAACCAACCGCTCCTCCAACCAGCCAAAATGCACAACTCATCTTGCCCCAAGTGCGGTGTCAGCTTCAACGGCGACACCAAGAAGTGCGATTCCTGCGGCGCCGTAAGTCGAAGGCCCCTTTCTCGTAAACCCCGTATAGCTAGCTACCCTCATATATATATATACTTATATATATACGCATATACAATAACCCTCTCTCACCATATCTTCCTCCCTATACTTTACTTATCCCAGCTCAAGCTTCGAAACCCGAAAAACTAACTAACAACATCTCCAGACCTGCCCCGTGTAAACACACCACCACCACCACATCCCCAACCATGAAGACGTAGGAATTACCCAAGGGGGATACTGGATTTTCCATGGCGCCGCAATGCCACCAACCCCCAAATTTCAACCTACTAGACCATTCGTTTCTTTTTTCCATCGGTATTCGGCGTAGATAGGGGGTCAGGGCAGGGCAAGGCTAAGATCAAGGGGGGTGGGATGTGAAGGAAGGAGTTCGTTGTACAATGAGAATATTCCAGTGCGATACGGGGTTAGAAACCCCCCCTTTTTCTTCTATCTTCTTCTAGTTTACGAAGGCATCATCATAATTAGGGGCGAGGACGGCCGGTTTCTCCTAATGCAAGTCAGTCAGTCAGAAGAACCAAACCAAACCAAACGAGAGGAGTGTGTTGTTCTGAAAGGGGCGAGACGGATACGGAAAGAGAAGACGGAAGCACATGTTGGCGAGTATCTTACTTCGGCCTCTACGGCAAACTAACTTACTACCAATCTTAACTAGTTACCATAGTTGAACGGTCTTCCTTCTTTTTTATTTTCCTACTATGTTAAGCTTCCACGAGATTAAACTAAAAGGGAGCCTTCAAAGCCTAAGTTCCCCCCTATTGGACAGATGCGTTATGTAGTAAAAGTAAGCAACCATCACATGTCCACCGTGGTATCGTGAACAAGACCAGTAACTAGTAGATAAGTGCGCCGAATATATTGATAGGTGTCCGTTTCAAATATCATATTACAACATACCAGCTTTGAATCTGCCATATACTACGCAGTCAAGGCCGGTACTAATCATCTACGAAGGGCAGCACAACAATTACAAGACGCATGTGGGAAACCAGGCAGGAACATGACGATTAGTAAGGAGTATGATTGGGAAAAAAGACAGGTAGAAAGAGTAGCCCCTGCGCAACAAATGTCCGTCTCCCGGTTGGCCTGACGCGGGAATTACCAAGAGCAGTAAAAAGGAGAAGATTTATGATATAGCCGTATTCTCTGGGGTTGTCTCGCCAATCTTGACACACATACCACACGCACAACACACCATCCACATCTCTCTAACGGCAATACATTGCCCATCCCCCCCTTTCTCGAACCATGGGAATTCAAATACAACGATACCCGCTACCCCGTCACCAATATACTCCCTTTGTAATATGGGAGACACGCAAGAGTTGACCTGAGTTGCACGCCCACCGAAGCAGTTAAAACGGGAAGACGAATCAAACTCCGGTTGAGACTAGGACGCACAGGCGGTCCGACCCTCCCAGTCCGTCTAAAACCCTTATTCATCTGTATATCTCGTCCGTGAGACGAACCTTAGGACGATGATGGATCATGACGGTATGTCGAAGGTATCATAAAGATGTTGTACACATTTCTTAAAGGACTAAGCACTTGGAGTGCTTCTTCTGGCTTTTACGAGACAGCAGAGCCGCGCGAGTAGCGTGCTCGAAAACTTCTCGGACACCTTCATTCGTCTTGGCTGAGCACTCAAGGTACTTGTAAGCGCCAATCTTCTTGCGAACGTCCTCACCCTATAGCAATATTAGCGGCTACAAATCAAACAAAGAGCCGAGCTGAGTTCGGAGATAGAGATCCCACGTGTTTCCAAACACCGAGATTAAGTAATGATTTTGTAAATGATGATGATAACTTACCTCCTCAGGGGAGACGGGCTTCTGGCTGGTCTTGCGGAGCTCCTCAATTGTCTTTGCGTCGTAACGCAGATCCTTCTTGCAGCCAACGAGGATGATAGGCAGGCCTTGGCAGAAGTGAAGGACTTCGGAAATCCACTATCGGATAGAGCACGTGTCAGTAAATTGCTTATCTAGGAAGCACAAGACAACGGATGAGATGCGGGAATGCTAACCTTCTCCTGAACGTTGTCTAGAGAATCGGGCGAGTCGACAGCAAAGCAGATTAGGATGACGTGAGAGTCAGGGTAAGACAGAGGTCGAAGACGGTCGTAGTCTTCCTGACCAGCCGTATCCCATAAGGCTAACTCGACGTGCTTTCCATCGACCTCGACATCGGCGACGTAGTTCTCGAAAACGGTGGGGACATAGACCTATTCAAAAATAAAAGGACAGTTTGTCAGCATTGTGCACAACGGCCCTATTGATTGTTTACTGGGACGCGATAGATGCTCATGATGGCATCAATGGGCGACGAGGTAGCAGCTCGGAAGGCGGATTGACGGGACCGACGACCCTTTGTTTCGGTATGACGCGGGTCTATGTTGAATAGAAGGATGAAAAGCAATGGTGATGACGAGGCAGCTATTCTCTTACCTCAGGGAACGTTCCCTTAGAGAAAACGCTGCAGTTGAGTTAGCATGATGGCAGAGACGAGTTTGTTTTGATAAGCGACGTACATCAATAAACAAGTTTTACCACAGGCACCGTCACCGACGATGACCAGCTTTCGGCGGAGCTCAGCCATGTTTGGGGAAGAAGATGGTCGGATTTAGGGGGGGCAGAGAAAAGGAACGGCCTTTGCTCAAGGGGTATTGAGAGAATATGCAAGAAGAGAGAAAAAAAGAGGTCAAAAGTCTTGATGGATTGAATCCTCGCGATTGTTCGTTATGGTTTCTCCCTTGGAGGTTTTTGGATGATGGAAGAAGATGGAGGAGATTAGAGATGGAGAATGTGAGAAGGAGGAAAGGTTGGAAGGTCGTTGCTCAATTGATGGTGGTAGCACCAGCAAGGTAGGATAAGGCAGGCAGGCACTACAGTACATAACATAACTTTTTGCTCCAGGTAACCAGGTAGACCAGGTAGCAGCACCAGCACCAGCGCCAAAGCAACAGGAAGTAACAGCGGGTCGACTCACCAAATAAGGGACAATTGGGGACAAGCACAGAGAGGCACAAGACAAAAAAACGTGTAGGTACCTAGGCCTAACAGGGGCAGAGGGGACAGGGTTTAGTGGGGCTTGTTTAATCGTTAAGGGATTTGTAGGCGAGTTTTAGTGGTTGTCCTAGCGGCTTACACTGCCAAAACTTTGCTAGGTAAGTCCTTGGGAAAAAAAACAAAAACAAATAGGTACCGAAGGTACATAACGCCGCGTACTGTACCCGTTGTACATAGGTACGTTTATGTCCGTATTCTGCTCTCGCACTGGCCTGACTGGCCTGGCCGGCTTTTGGCTTCCACTCTCCGTCCCAATCCTCAATCCGAAAGTACCTATTTGTACAATGGATATGTCCATCAGTCCATCCAGTCCATCATGTGCCCTATGACCTTAGGAGGTACATTAGGTACAATACCTAAATGAGTCGTCCTTATGAGTCGTCCCTAAAAGTCCTTTGGCCCTTGCGCCTCGGATCTCGAAGGAGGCAACCCACCAAAACACACATCATTACATAGTAGAACCTGGTTAAGGTACTTAGCCTAGGGCCTTGTACCAAGCCACGACACCGTCCGTCTTACAGCATTGAAGAAGGTATTCCATGCATGTGGACTATGGACTGTTCTTAGTGGGCCTGTGCGCAGCGTCCTGCATTTGAAGCTCATGCTATGCTATCTACACTACCTAATGTATGCCATGCTATAAAGATTCACTCATACGTAAGCAATTTTCTAGAATATTGATTTATTAACATTGATGCTACTGAGGTCATTAAGGTCGGTAAAAGGCGAATGTAGCATTCGGGTGCAGCAAAAGTCATATACCACACATTACATACGAGAAACAGACGGCACAGCTTTCTCATACGGTCATATCTCACAAATGTTAAACCACTAACGCTTATGATGAGTTGGACATATTGCTGACTCAGAAGTGTTGATATTGAATAGTTATTTGAAGTTTGATACTTTGAATATTACTGTATGGATTTCATACTTCATACATACCTACCTACATAATAGTTCACGCTTCGAAAATGGAGGATCGGGGGATGTTGCCGGCAGATCGGCTCCCAGAAAGAAAATAAAAGACCAAGCTAGGTTAGGCACGTTTGAATCAAACTCCCCTACCGACCGCTGCGAGCTAGACAAAGCTGGGAAAGGAGCTTGCGTCTTTCTTCCGTCTTTCTTCACCGACTAAACGTCGCAATAGCCCTTCGCTGATCCGGGCTCTTCAGCTGAGCAGTTGTGGCTCAGATATTGTCATATCATTCCAAGTTTCCCGACTTCCCAACTTCCTAAGCTCCCAAGTTTCCACGCTCTCTCCTATCGCGCAATCTATTTCTTTCTTTGTTCGCTGTTCGTCGATACGAGTTGTGGGGGGGTTCGGCATTCGCGTAGTGTAAGAGCCCTGGAGTCGTCATTTTGTTTCATACGGCCAGCCCGTCTCGGAATTCTCCTTTTAACTAACATACATACTATTACATACATACCTACCCAACATACATATATATGTAGCATCCCTCGTACCCCTTTCTCTTTTCTTGGATTACCTATTCTACACATCGTATTGATTGCGTATACTACCTATGTATAAGGCACTGAGAATCCCCCTATTATTTACAGAATTAGTTAAGCCGAGGCTGCAAAGCCCAGTTGGTAGTTTTCTGCGGCTTGGCTTCGCTTGTGATTTGGAACTAGGTAACTCATTGGAACTAACTGGCTCTACGTAAATTACATAGTACGTACGCGTACCGCATTGACACCATACGAACAAAACTTACAGCGTTTTAATATTATCATATCGATAATGGGCTTTGAGGCGAATCAATATATCAATTTGCATAGTAGATCCGCATGTACATAGTAGATGAAACGTTAGGTACTTACACTAGAATGTATAACTACTGCTGACAACTAACTAAGGAATATGAGACTTTTGCTAACCTAGTGTGTTAGACGATGTGGTGTTAGTTTAGATCAACCAGTTGTCTCTTTTTACTGAAGCTTTCTTTTAGTTCATCTCGTATCAAACCGGCAAGGTGGATTTTACCGGCCGAAACCTTGGGATCATGGATCCTATGTATTCCGTTGCATCTTTAAACCTTATTATGCGATAATAGCCTTCCGCCTGTTATATTCGACCTAGAAAACCAGGGACTTCCGTACAGGTCATACAGGTCAATTTGATTCACGTCATAACATCTCATTTGGCTAAGTTTCAATACATGAATTTTTGTGCCTTTTCATATGATAAATAGAATGTACCTACATAAACACCATCGAATACGCCCGTTCATCTTCTTGAATAATAATAATTCTACCTACATAGCAGTTCGGTCGGACAGGAACAATTAGCATTTGGTCTTGATAAGCTTAAGCTCAAGCTCAACTACGACATTAAATCTGCAAGATAGGCCGACATCTTTTTACGACAAGGTCACGACATGGCCACAACCATGGCCACAACCACGGGTCTAATGGATCTTGGCATCCAAGGGTTAATTTAATGTACTTGGGTATCTATGTACCTCGTACCTATCTTATCTAAATGTTTAGATAAGATACGAGGTACATAGGCAGTGGACCTCCTGGGCACTTGGTTTCGTCGGAGTCTAGATTTTCCGCGTATTCTCAATTCACCCCCACCCCACCCCACCTTAGAGTCTTTCAATGGCACTAAGGCTCTAATCCAATTGGACCAATTAGATGTATTTTCCAAAATTTTGGTCTCTGGAGAGCAAGCAGCTTCATTCAACCCACGCACACGATGAGGCCGTAAGACCCAGTGGCCTCTCGCGAACCTCAATCCGTCCTGCCCCTCCCTCCAAACAGCAGGAAGGTCCCTCCCAAAAATGCAGAAGATCCTCCGCCGAGTGGCTACCGCCGAGCGGGTGGTCGCCAAGCGGACCAAGACCAAGGACCTCAAGTGGTTCAAGAAACAAAAGAAGGAGACGTCCCGCGATCAGCAGCACCAGCTAATGATGGTCCGAGAGGAACTCAACGCCGCGAAGCAAGCCGTGAAGGACGACTGGGAGTTAGGACCCCTCGCCCCGAGACGAGACGTTGGCGAATGGGCCGGCGCGAAGGGCGCCATTCACGAGGCTCGCTACGCTGCCTATGGCAAGGTCACTCTCGCCATGCGAAATCGCCGGTGTCAGTGGGCTGGCGGCGCTTACAACCTTAACATCACCGTGGGGGACAGAGTCGTGCTAATCGACGGCCCGGATAAGGGGCGCATCGGCAAGATAAAGTCTATAGACTACGACAAGGCCGAGGTTGTCATCGACGAGTTAAACAAGGTAATAATCTAGTCCCATACGGCGTTCTAGCACTCGCCGTAGTACCGATTTTTTTTTAACAATATGAATTACGCAGACCAATATCCGAGTACAAGCAGAAATCCGAGACGACGACGAACCCCCCGTTATCAACATGGAACTCCCCATACCCATCTCGGGCATCCGACTCGTCCACCCCATCAAAGACCCCTCGACAGGCATCACCCGCGACGTCATCATCAACCAGCTAGTGCACGGGGGCTTTCTGCACGACCGCGTATCCGGCAAGCGGCGGTGGTCCCGCATCGTTCCGGGCCTGAACATCTCGATCCCGTGGCCCAAGAAGGAGGAGAAGGACGTCAAAGATTACAGCTGCGACACGCTGCGTATCGACGTCGAGGACAAGACCTTCGTACCTACGCTCCTGCGCCCCCCCATGCCCGAGGCCGTCCTCGACGAGCTGCGCAACAAGTACAGTCGCTTCCGCACGCGCCACGACCCCGAGTACATCGCGCGCCTGGAAGCCGAGGAGAAGGCCGTCGCCGACCGCGCCAAGCTCATGGACTCGATGCGCACCCCGCTGCAAGAGTTCCACCGCGCCCAGCGCGAGGGCAAGAAAAAGAAGGGCAAGCCCCGTCTCACCCTCGAGATGCTCGAGAAGATCGGCGAGGTCATGGCCAAGAACTTGGAGAGGACGCGAAATGGTCAGGCTCTGCTGGAAGCAGCCAGCAACAGCGGCGTGGCGTCGGCTGAGACGGCCGTATCGCCGCCTCCTACAGAAACCGCGGCGGCGGCGGTGGAAGAGACACAACCTCCGCCGTCAACGTAAAATTAAAATTTAAAAAATGGTGGTGGTAGAATATGACGCTACTTAGACCTGTAACATAAATGTACATATTGCATTTGCATTTAGGGGCACGCGGAGCATTCAAACCAACTTCGTATTCCTTTTCCTAGGCGTAAATCCCCCTATGTGATGTGATTGATTGATTCCCTACCTCCTATCTAGCCAGTACTTTTATCTATACCCCTGAACCACCCCTTCCCTACCTACGAGCCCAGCAACGACAGCCTTTCCAAGGCCGTGATAACAGGCGGTTCCTGCTTCTTCCACTTAGCCTCGAGATTCTCGTATAAAACCGCATCCGCACCCATAGGCCTCCACTCCTCATCCTCGTCTCCCTTGCCTTCTTCGCCAGCCGGCTTGTTTCCAGCACCCGCGAATACCTCCTTAACAGCTACCCTGCAGGCCTCCGCCACCTCCGCAGCCAGCGCCTCGAGAGCACGAGCGCGTTCGTGCATGCCACGGCGTACGAGCGCAAAGACGAGACGCTCAGCATCGGGCTTTGCACCCTCGACGCGCTCGACCAGTCGGCGAACGCTGTTGACGAGATATTCCTCCTCGTAGACAGTACCCTTGCGACCTCGGGCGCGCTTCTTCTCCTCGCGGCGGCGGTTCTTGCTAGTAGCGCGACTGACGCCCGTTCCGGCCGTGCCCACGCTTCCTGTTCCCTTGCCCGTGTACCGCGTAAACAAGCTGGCGCTCGTGCTAATGCGTGAGCTAGCTGCCACCGACACGTCATCCGGGATATCGCCTGCGCCAGCACGTTCGCCCTCATAGAAACCCAGCGGGTCCTCCGCTGCCTTTCGCCGGAGATCCATGATACGAGGAACCTGTGCGCGAAGCTGCGCCTTGCAGTCCGCGAAAAACTCGGTACTGCTACCTAGCGACTCTGCGAGACCGGGATCGACAGCGCTCGTTAAGAGTTCGGGGCGCCCGCGCTGTGCTGCCAGACGCATGGCGTCGGCGAATAGATACCCCTTGCAGAGACAGGAGATGGCGATTTCGAGCGAGTTGAGATGATCAAGATAAATTGCTGCCGCGGACGCGTAGTCCTTGGCCTCGTAGAGGGCCTCCGCAAGGGTTGTTGCAAGATCAGAGAGCGCATCTAGAGTCAGCGGCGGTGATTGTTGCTGTGCCGTGAAGAGGCATTCACGCCAACAGGAAGCGCCGGCAGCACGGTAACACCTAGTAGCCCCTGTGTAATCGTTAAGAGACTCATAGGTGAGACCCGCTTCTCGAAAACGAGACTTGGACTCGAGATACGTCGCATAGAGACTAGTAAGAATAGTGAGGTTAGGTTGGTCGTAGCGGTAGAGCTTCAGCGCCGTGGCGTAGAGTGCGTGCTTGACAGTGTAGTCTTGGGCTTCCTTATGCGCCTGGCTAGTTTGAAGGTGAACCAAGGCTTTCTCGTGCCGTCCAAGATGATCATCGATAGCGAATTTCCGTCTTAAGTCAGGTAGTAGATGCAGATTCTGATGGAATGGGAGGTACTCTCGGGGATCTCTTTGAGACTGTTGCGCAACTAGTAGCGCCAGGTCTAGATTGTAGAGACCTAAGGCTTCATCGTATAAGGTGTTGACATCCGCAAGAAAGCAGATATGTTCGACAGCTTTCTCGGCAAGTTGTTCATCTTCTTGCAACAGGGTAGCAACAACTAACAGCCCGTCTTCATACGCGGGTGGAACCTTACAGACATTGGCTGTGATAATGTTTTGTAGGGTATCATGGTCCTTGGTCTTACGGGATTGGAGATGAGACAGCACCGCATCGCAAATAGTGTTAACTTTTGAGCTGTCATGGGGTTTACCAGTAGGGATCTCGCTTGGAGTCACTTCCGGTAACTCTTGATTCCTCACACCCTTGGTATCTCGATACATAGTCTGCGTGACATCTTCGTCTCTGCTCCGCGTTAGGTATGTGCTCATACGTGGTATGCGAGCTCACTTACCGTAGAGAGGAAAGGAAAAGGTCGATATACGATACATCTCCAACTTGGTCGAGGAAGAGTCCAACATTAGCAAGGAATTGCTGCGGTCTGTGGTCATAAAGAATATTCATATCCACACGCTGGGTCCGACAGTACGAGTATGCCTTTCCGTAATCTTTAGCGTCAATCAATTGCCTAATTCCCGCTACAACCATAGCTCGGGGATATATTGTTTCTAAGTTTCCACGCGGCATCTGAAGAACTATGCTCATATTAGTAGGCATTGCTGTTACAAGCCTTGCGCCTCTCTCGATACTCCGACACCTCTCGTCCTTTTCAGGGTCGTCTGGTGGTACCTCCAAGCCTATAAAGTAGGGTTAGCTAAGAATAAAATGGGTATCTCTGGGACTCACTCTCTACATCGACCAAATGGATAAACTTGACTAGATGGCTAGTTGTTGTGGCAATGAGATGAGCTGGAGTAACGAGAAAAGATGTGCAATTCTTCATCAGGAGGCGAGAATTTGCGTATAGATGTCCGTTCCGTGATAATCCGACAGCAATGACGTTGCCGGCGAGGTCGATGACTTCGCTCCACGGAAGCTGAGATGGAAGGCGGACAGAGTACAAGTCATCCTGCTGGTTGACAACACCATGGAATCTACCTAGGCAATCTTGAACGAGGACCTCCGTAGATCCTGATTGGGTTAGACGCACAAAGCCAAACATCGAACCAGCATATATACTCGAGTTAGATGAGAATTCACCAGTGGTTCGGTCAAAGGGGTGCGACTGGATCACGGGGCCCTTTTCAAACCCGAGGCAATGAATGACACTATTCTCGGTGACGGCAATTTGCAATGGGAGATAGTAATTATCCGAGTTATCTTTAGCGAAAGTCATGCTGCCTACTAAAGATGGAGGTAGAGAACGCTGCCCTTTTAATTTCCATTCATATACGTCTACGCCGAATTGATGGAGAACGGCCATAAACGTATTTGCTGGAGAGAAGGTCACATCGATAATCGGCGATGATGCCTGCAGTTCAAACAACGCCATTGGAGGAGGGACGTTAGCTGTTCGAAAAGGGGTGAGCTTGAGAGTCTTCCCGTCTATGACAGCAACGGCTCCATAATCATATGGCGGCGTTAGCGACCCCCGAGCGATCTCGAAAATATACTCAGCAAGTAATAGTCTATCTGCGATACTATTAGTGTTGAATATATGCTCATAAAGATTCTAACTCACCTGGGACAGCCGACGCGAAACGCAGTGGTTTTTCAGGATGCCATGCGAGGGAGAATGGACGCTTCTGCGTGGGGATTTCTTGCTTCAGATACCAGTGGTAATTGCCCATAGTCCAAAGTTGAATGCGGTCATCAAGCGTAGCTGCGAGGACCGTAGAATCCGAGTTCCACTCAAGCCGTATCCGGTCGTTTGAGAGTGACCTGCCTTCGGGGGCTCTCAAGGAAAATTGACCATGTCTAAGGCCATTTCTCTCAAAGAATATAACATCCACACGGTCCTCAAAACGTTGCGTGGATGCAATCAAATTCCCGGCTGGTCTCCAGCTTAAAGCACACTCCATACCATCAACGGGTTCACTTACGCTGTCAAGAACGCCATCTCGGGAATATACCCGAATGGCTCGGCGGATGCCAATCTCAACCGAGTTGATTGCGACATAGGCACCGTCGCCCCTCCAACTAATGGTTGTACTTCCATCATCGTTAGGGCTTAGTACGCCTTGGTCTACCTTCTCTGGTATTGTAGGGTCTCGCAGGGCTTTGGCGCCTCGGCCTTGGAACTGTGTTTCCTTCTTGCCCCAACCAACAGAGACGTGCTTAGACGCTTTGAGATCATCGACACTCATAGTCATATCTGCTATACAATCGAAACTACGGCTCATGAAGATCACCGTGTTTGACTTTGTAGTTATGGCTAGTAGTTCTTCATCCGGGGACCAGCTTGCAGCTGTGATGCCCTCATCCACAGACCCTTGGATTTCGATGTGAACCCCATCATGAGAGTTTGGGCCCTCTAATTCTTGGACGACGACTATGTCACCTCCTTCAAGGACTAGACAAGTTGTTGAAGTATCGCTGAAGTGATGCGAGCTTATGACTCTATCAACAGCCAAATCCGGATTTGGACTTGGGGCATCCCACGATGCGATATCTCGGCATTCACTACAGTCATAAATGGTGAGCAAATTATAGACTGTCGGATATCCCCGAATGGTGCAGGCTCACATGTCTATGGACGAGGCTCTCACGTGTTCCAGTATCCTTACTAGACGAATACGCCCATCTGTGTCACTGGGGCCGAAAGTGCACAAGATCTCATCTTTGGCTGGGTCCCAACACGTTGATGTGATAGCCTCTTCGGTCAAATCGGTTGACGACTTCCAGGCGTTGAATCGTACGTTGCGAAGATTACGCATCTTGGGAATGCCTGACGTCGTAGGGGATCATGAACTGTAAGGCACTGGTATAAGTTATAACTCAGTTGCGACGAAACTGTGATAATAGACTTTGTAATGACGACTATAAGTCCGTGCGATAAAACTTTTGAAATTAGTATTGATACTGTGCTAGGTACCTGTCTACCTCCTTCCAAACGGGCATCAGGTACCTAAGATCTTTGAATCTGATTAAAGCTTGGTCCGTGCTCAATCCCACCTCGACCTAACCTTAGACGTCTCGGTGGAGTGTCGGCTGGTCGGCAGGCCCCGGAAAGTATGACTGTGGTCAATGCTGGCCTGATAGTGGCTAAAGCTTTCACTACCTACATGGATAGTACCGAGGTAGGTACCTGGCATGGGATGAATGACGGCTCCGGCCCCTAGCTTAAAGCGGCATGCCTTAGATCATTTAACAATTTCATCTATGTAATAACAGGGTATTCAAGCTTGTAGGACCAACTCCATTTCTCGATCTACCAGTTGTACATAATCCAATTGGATCCTTATTTGAACTTTTCATTGTATTCTTACCTAAATATCCAAAGACCTATTGCCTTACCAAGTACTTACGGCTTCGAGATTGTCGAATTTGTAACTTGTACATAGCGCTTCAACTCATATAATCATGGACGTCGCGTACAAGCAACATGCCAACCAGGCGCGTCGCAAAAACAGATCGTCTACGAACATCCAACACTTATCTCTTGCGCCGCTCACGTCTAAATTACCCCTGATCGACCATGAAGACCTACCTGACCTCGGCGCGCCGCCATTTCAACACAATGTTTCCTACCTACAGGGCAAATCCGCCCCTACGACCCCACGGCTACTCCAATCTCCTCCCCGGACTCGAGCCAACTCCCCTAGCCGACGTCGATCCTCGGTGAACGATCCTCTAAGCGCGAAATTGCCAAAGAGCAAGTCCACGACTCATCTACTTGCGTCAAACGCAAAACGCTCTGGCCTGGGACCGATATCGCCTCTTCCCCGGTATCATGTACCACCTAACAACAAAGAACGGGGAGACGACGACTGGATTCTGCGTACGGGGGCATTGATCAGCTCGAAGATGCGCGAGTCCAAGGGGCAAGCATGGCTCGTCGAGAGGGCGAGCTCGACTAGTCTAACTGGCATGCGTGATGTTGACGAAGAGGCATATGAACGAGAATTAGCTAGGGAGAGAGAACTCGCGAGCAGGCGGAGCAGTCGACGGGGCAGTATAGCAAGTGGAGACGATGATATCCTTTCGCCGAGCAGCCGCTACGGTAGCCGCTCTCAGAGCCGGGCTGGGAGCCGAGCTCATTTAAGGACGCCCGTGGAGCGGCATGTACACGATGGGTATTTTAGCTACGACGTGTCACCGGAAGATCACATTCCAGGCCCGGATTTCGTAAGCCTGGACGAAAAGCTCGAGGCCTTCGAGACGGATACGAGCAAATCAGACGAGGCAGTTGTTCGGAGACTGGTCTATAGGAAAAGCGAAGGGGTAGGCTCCTGGGTCTGGTCCCTATTCTCCGTTGAGGAGAACGACGAAGAATCAGACACTGCCGACGGTGAGCTGTCAGATGGCGAAACCGAAGGAAGCCATTTGCCTCGTAGCGCAAGCACGGTGGAATTCGAAGGCGTTTCGAATGCCCCAGAAGAACGAATTCCACCCCCCAAGTCAGACGAAGGTGGTTGGCGAGACGCCGCGTGGCTTTTGACCGTGGCGTCTAAAGTCTTGCTTTAGGGTCTGAGACAAGACCTAACGCGATGCTTCATAGGGAAGACGAGGAACTTGAAGGTCATTGCGTTTGCGCCGCATGTCATCTTTTATAAGCACGCGGGATGTGTAATATTGACAGCTAGTTCACGTTCAAGAGTCACACTGCAGCTGTGCTAATAAGCTAATTCTACATCTCTACGACGGGGCTTTACCTCCTTTTGGTTGGCAGAAACGGAAATAGATGAGCCAAGCGAAGGACCTCGATATCTTGCTACTAAGAATAGAACACGGAGTTCTGTATCTGATTATCGAAATGCGCAGTTTTATTGATCTGGGAAATCACAAAACGGTCTTGGAATTCGAATCCCATTAAGACCGTTAGTTGGCTCTACCTGAGCTTTTGGATAAAATATTCTACAAATCAAAAGCAATGGACGTGTCTGGTCGAGGTACATACATGCACATGTTGCATACACATACGTCTGCTTCGCATACTCCTTGCCTACCTCCGTATGTAGTGTTTCTCCTCGACCATCTGTAAAACGGAATGTAGTCTGGGTGCGGGGAAGGCCGCCAACCCGCAGGGAGAATCGTTCAGCTGGCTGGCTAGCTAGCTTAAGACAGGGCCAAAACCGGATTTTTTTACTCATAAAAATGCAGCCAACATACGTTCGAGGCCTTTCGAGTAAGACGTGTTACTTAAGGAGTAAGAAGAAAAAAAAGTACGATCGCTCTTAGGATTAACAATAGATGTCTTTCTACCTATTGCGCCCCGAAGCTTGCTAGGAACTACCCAGGTAGATTATTAAGAAAACTTTCTTTTTACTTGCTTACGTTACATGTTTTCGGAAGAAAGTTTTTACTTTTAAATTTTAATTGGAGGGGGAAGGCTTAAAATTTAAATATATAAATTATATAATAAAGAAATTAATAAAATAAATTTTTAATTAATTAAATTAATTATTATAAAAGTAAATAAAAAATATATTTAATTAAATTAATAAATAATAATAATAATAATATTAATAAAAAATAAAAATATATAAATTAATAATAAAATTAATAAAATAAAATTTATAATTAATAAATATTTCCCGTAAATAAAAATATAAGTTAATAATAAAACGTTATAATAATTAATTAATTAAATAATATATTAAATTTTAAATAAATATATTAAAAAACCTTAAAATTAAAAAAAAAGATTAATTAAATAAAAAAGGTAATTTATAATTTATATTATAAAAAATAAAGTTATTTATATAATTAATTAAATAAAACGTATATATTTAACCGAAAATTTTAAAATTATATTTTAATAAATAAATTAATTACATTAAATATAATTTTAAATTTATATTATTTTAATATATTAATTCGATTTTACGTAACGGTAAATTATATAATTTTTTTTAATTATAATTTATACACACGTATTTAACTTATATAATTAATTAATTATAAATAAAACTTAACGTAATTTAACATAATTTATTTTAATAAAAAAAAACTTTAACGTAATTTTTTAAGTAAAATTTTTTATATATATTATATTACTTTTTTATTTAAAATTTAATTTTTTACTTTTTTTATAACTTTTTTTATTAACATTATATAATTTTTTTATATTTATTAATTTACTTATATTATAAACTTTATTTTTAAGTTATAAAAAGTTTATTATAATTTATATAACTTTAAAAAAAACTATTATTAAATATATATTTTTTAAATTATTTTATTTTATTTATGTATAATTTATTTATTTATTTTATTTCTTAAAAATGTTTATATATAAGACTTTTCTTTTCCTTTAATTATTTAATTATTTTTTTTTTTTATATTTTTTTTTTTAACTTTTTTTAATATTATAAACTTATTATTTTATTACTTAAAAAGTAATATTATAAGTTTTATTTTTATTTTAATAAGATTTTTTTAAAATGTTTAATAATGGAAATAATAATATATAAGTTTTAAAAAAACGTGGTTAATTTTATTAATAATTTTTTTTTTTCGGTTTATAATAATATATTTAATATTATTAAAATTTATTATAAATTAAGTTTAAATTTATTAAGTTTAATTATATAAGTTAAATTATTATTATTTACGTATTATATCGGTAAATTTAAATATATTAATTTTTATTATTAACGGTTTAATTTTAATTTATTTATAAGTTAAATTAATAATAATTTATTAATATAAATAATTTATAAATATAATTAATATATAACCGTTAATTTATTAATATTAAGATTTTAATAATTAAAATTTTAACGGTATTTAAAAAATGCGTTAAATATATATAATTACGTAACGTATTTATTAAAATTAACGTTAAAATGTTAATACGTTATTTTTTTTTTTTATATCCTTTTTATATATTATTTAAATTAATTTATAAAAAAATTTTAATATTAATAATTTTTTATTATTATTATTATTAACATTAATATAATTTTTAATATAATTATTTATATAATTAACGTTAAATTTATTTAAATTATTAATTATTAATAATATAAATTTAACTTTATTTTAAACTTTTTATAATAATTTAATTTAAAATATTTAAAAATCTTATATCCGTTATAAAAAATAATGATTTAATATATAATTAAAAGGTAATATATATTATAATTATAAAACTTAAAATATAAACTTAAAATTAAATAACATATACTTTTTTTTAATTAATAATAATTTTAATTTTAATATTATATTTAAATCCTTTTTAATATTAACGTAAATAAAGGAAATAATTATATTTTAATTCCATTATTTTATTAAAGTTTATTAAATTAAAAATTTATAATACCGTTATAAAAGTTACGTTTATTATTTTTTTTAAAATATCGGTTTTTTATATTAATAATTATTAAAATTACTTAAAAAACTTAATATTATTATATTATAACCGATTAATTTTTAATTATAATAATAAATTTATTAAAATTTTTAAATTTATTAAAAATATATTATATAATAATTTCATTTTTTACGAAAAAACTACTTTAATTATTAAAATATTATAATTAATAAAAGGTAGTTTTTTTAATTACCGAAAAATAATAATATATTATTATAATTATTATTACATTAATTAAATAGCGATAATAAAAGTATTAATAAAAATATTTTAAATAATAAATTTACCATTTTTATAAATAAATGTAATATTTTTATTATCTTTAATTTAATTATTTTATAACTGTAATTTAATATTATATAAAAATTTATTAATAAATTTTATATTATATTTAATTTATTTAATATTTAATTTATTTTTATATTTAAATTAAATAAAACTTAAATATTTTTATTTTTTATATTTTTTACTTTTTATGTATATAACGTAAGTAAATTTATAACTTTTTAATTTTATAATATTAAATTTATAAATTATATTAAATATATTTTTTAATAATATAATAATAAATTTACTTTTTATTTTTACTTTTATTACATAATTTTTAATATATTATAACGTTAATAAATTAATAATTAAAATACGTTTTACATTAATTAAATAAATTTAATAAATTTCATTAACGTTAATAATATATAAACCGTTTTTAATAAAAATATTTTAAAAATATAAACGTTATTTAATTTAATAATCTGATATATTATTAACGTATTAAATATTTAACTTTATTAAATAAATTAATAAATAAAATTAAATTTATAAATTAATACATTTAAATATTTAACATTATTTTTCATTTTTAACGTTATTAATATATAATAAAATAACTTTTATTAATTTTTATTAAAATATTTAAAATAATAAAACGTTAATAAAATTCTTAAAATTATTATAACTTAAAATAATTTACAATTATATTTTTACATTATTACTTATTATTTTTACATTTAATTTATAAAATTTTTTAAAGTTATAATTTTAATTAAATTTAAAATTAATAATTTTTAATATTAATTTAAATGGTAAAATAAAAATAGTTTATATATTTATATTTTATTATAAAATAATAAATAAAATTTATAAATTATCGTTTATAATATATTAATATTAAAAAATTAAAAAAGTTTTACTTAAATTTAATTTAAATATATTACAATTATAAATTTAATATTAAATTAAATATTTATAAATAATCCGTTTAATTTTTTAATTAATAAAAAGTTATATATTATTATATATTTATAAAAAATTATATAATTTATATAAATTTATATATATAATTTAAATTATTATTTTTAATTATTAAAAAAGGAATATAACGTTAATAATTTAAACGTTAAATTTAAAATTATTATGTAAATTTTAAATAAAAAAACGGTTTATTTATTAAAATTTTAAAGATTTTAAATATTTATTACAATTTTTTAATATATTTTAAATAAAAATATTAAATTATTTTAATATAATTATTATTTTTATTATTTTTATTTATTAATATTATTAATTAAAATTAATAAATTATTAAACTTTAATTATAATAATTTTATAATTAAACGAAATAATTTAAGGTTAAATTTATATAATGTTATTATTATAATCGAATAAAACGTTAATATAAATATAACGTTATATATTAACGTATATATTATAAAAATTTATATTATTAAATATTATTTTAAAGTTAAAATGTTTATTTAAGTTTTTATTATATTAATTATTAAAGTTATATTTTATTTTAATAATTGGTTTTTATTTTTATTATTTATAATAAAATTTATAAATAAAGTATTTAATAAATGTAATATTTTAAAATAAAAAGTAATATATAAATTATTTAAATATTTATTATAAATAAGTTTTTATATTATATTTTAAATAAATTATCGATTTAATTTCGAAAATATTTAACGTTTTATAATTATTAACGGGTAAATTTAAAAAATAAGTTTTTTATTTATTAAATACCGTAATTAACTTAATATATTATTATATATAATGTTATTTAAATGGTTTATTCGATATAATTAAAATTATTTTAAATCGGTTTTTTAATTTTAAATTTAAAATTATATTTTCGTATATAATTTAA